AATTTTAATCTCTACGATGATTGATATTTATCATGTCACAAATTGTAAAATGTTGGTTTACATGAGGTGAAAACTACACTGTATAATCGAATGTCGGTGCCATACTTGTAATCTGACAGATGAGTGTACACCCTGAATTTTACTGGAAACCTAACTTGCAACATTTAAAGTTATGTCGGCACCTTTAAAAGGAAAAGACGCAGCGTTTCGAATCTTTCAAATTTAGTGTATCTCAGATACTTGTTCAACTTTGTTGGTCTTCTTCAGTATATGTCAACTTAATTCTATAGTTTTCAGGAAGTGGTCTGGTTGTTCATTTTCAGATGAAACTTTGATATAAACATAAGAAATGTGGTATGATTGCGAATGAGACAACTTTCCACCAGAGACCCAGTGACGTAGAAGTTAGCAGCAACTATATGTCACCGTATGGCCTTCGATAATGAGCAAAACCCATGTTGCACAGCAAGCTACAAAATGCACAGACATGACAAAAACAATTCAACTTTGTGAAATAATTCAAACGAGAAAACTAACGAACTGATTAATGTAACAAAAATTGAACGAAAAATAAATATGGTATTCAACAACAAACTGACTTGGGACAGGCACACACAGAATGCGGTGGGGTTAAACGTGTTTGCAGGCGCCCAACCCGCACTCTCGTCTGGGACAGATAGTGTAACAGCACAACATAAGAACAAACAAGAAAAATCAGTTGGAAAAGGCTTAACTTATCAGATTGACACAAAGCATACAAAAAAAAAAACCCCAATAACTTACAAAAGACAAGACACCAAGTACCGATCTGAGAGTACTCGCGGTTACGGAAAGCTAGTTCAAATCCGAATAACAATAAAAAAAATAATGTATCCAGTACACATTCAACCGATTTAATGTAAAGACGTCATAAACAGTAGCTGTCTAAAGGTATAGTTTTTGACTTTGTTTCCGTCTTCGTATTTAGATTTTTTTTTACATAAAATAATAACTGAAATATCAGATTTATATTATGGTTTAATATTTCGGAAACATTTCACTATTTTACTTCTTTACAAAAATATAACATGAAAATGCCATGTTTACCTTACACGTGAAATTGAAACGATCCCTTCGAGGAAAAAAGGGAAGTATAAGTAGCAGCGAAAACTAATCGTTGTTTTCAAAATCATTTTCAAGGTAAATATATTCCATTTAATCTTCACATTGTGAATTCTTTATACAACGGAAATTTTGTCCCTTTGCTATGAACTATGTCTGATTTCTCTGCCTTCTTTTTCAGTTTAGGTAGAATTTCATTCCTATTTTTAGCAGGAAAATACATTTCTTTTCCATCTCTGTAAGTCACAGTACATTCAAGAGAGGCTTTCTCGAGCTCTTCTTGTTTATTACTTGGTCTGTTGTGGAAATTATGAGGCCAATTATTGTAACTATATCTCAGATCGTCCATTGGAATATTAGTATTATTCAATAACTTAAGGAAATGTTGTTGCACTTTCTGTTTCTCTCTATCGTATTCTATCTGTACCATTTTCTTCTGTCTGTCATGAGCTCTAATTTCACGCTCAGTATCTTTACTCAAGAATATATGTCTCTTGTGTAAATGTTCAGAGCCAAACACTTTCTTCATAAGTTCGAAACGAACGTCTTTCGTCAGATCATATTGCGGAAACATTGCCATAGTTACCGGAGCTTTTTTATTTTCACTTAGCAAACATGTTCTTTTCTCACGTATTTTGGTTCCAGCCATGGATACTTTAAAATTCTTTGAGTTCCAGCTATTCCTTTTCTTAATCTAGACAAATTAATCCTAGTTCAAATACTAAGTTTTGTTAGTAAGGCCAATTTACATTTTTACACGTCCAGCTGTACGAATCTGTAGTCTGCTTGTCAAAGTGTTAAACATTTTGATCGACCTATGAATAGATGTAAAACATTTTATAGGGACGAGTTATGTTTCTATATAAGACGGAATAAATATAGATTGATAAGAAACTCCATAAACTTCTTCTCTTAAAGAGGATTAATAGAATAAAATCAATTGTTATTGCGTCGTCTAACAGGACCCTGATCGTTAATTTCACTATAAAATTTCTTTTTGCATATTTTAAAAGCCGACTTCTCACCAACGTGTTTCCTATAAACAGTTAGCTAATGGCTCAATCATTTGAATATACCAAAAATGAACTATATCACGGTGTATTATGTAGAACTCAAGTCAAAGTAATTTAGTCCTGGAATATGAATTAGTGTGTCTTTAAAAAAAATCAGAGAAAAACATACCGACTAAACACTTTTCAACGTCATAATTAAAAGAAGTGTTGTTCAAACTGACAAATCAAACACTTACCTAGAGTGTTCATCGGTAGATATGTCATTTTAACCAAAATATAACGAGACTAATAAATAAAAAGACTTTTAAACTTCCATTTAATAAGTGATGATTAATAGGACATTTCGAATTTTAAACAAACAAGACGACTCTTGCTTTTAAACAATCGTTGAAGATTTCCTAATTCAAGTATTTAATCTATTAGTTGATTTCAATGATCTTATTGTTTTGATCATATTCTAACTACAGTGGAATTATCTCAACAAAGTCATCAAGTATGGACTGCAATCCGATATTGTTTACGGACTATGGTTACAACTATTAATTAAAAATACTAGTAAAATAATGCACTACATTTTACTTTCACCTTAAATTTTGACATGCATATACAAAAAGATAACATGGACCCTACTAGACCGATAAACTTTTATCATGGTATTTTTTCATGGGCGATGCAAAAGATAACAGTTCACATGATAACAGGTTCGCCGGACACATGATTCCAACTCCGTGTCAACCAATATTTAGTTTCACTCCATAATTGCGTGTATATTGTGGAAAAGCAGCAAATACTATTTTCAAAGTCTCCTGTTTGACCTGGGAGGGGATCGTGCCCACGATCTCCCGCAGTAGAGGACAGCCCGCCATCAATATGTTATGGTTTTATCTAATGAAATGACATACCGCTGATAGATTGTTTGTGAGCCTATCTAGTTTTTTTTATCTTAAAAGAAAAATCAAAATATTCGTCCGAACTTTACTCTAAAGTTCTGAAAATTGGCTTAACATGTTTAGAGAATGTGGTGTTAGTGGCAGAACTTTAATAATATTGTTTGATAGTCGTGACGATTTAGAGCTTTGCATATAGTGTATAAATCTGTTTATTGTGAATATCGATCGATTGATCGATTGTTGGTGTTTAACACCGCTGTAAGCACTATTGGCTATATCGTGGCGGCCAGTTTTTTTTGGCGGAGGAAGCCGGGGTGCTCGGAGTAAACCACTGTTCTTCTGCAGGAAAACTGGCAATCCTAGTCAATTAAGATTTGAATCGAACACCACTCCAACGTTCGGGGTTTGAACTGACAACCTCAGTGTAGACAGGTTATTGATACAGTATACTACTTAGACTATATTTCCTCCGAGTCCCCCTTTCATTGTGAAAAGACTTGCTGCTCTCCCGATTTCTTTTGGTTATATGTGTTGTTGTGTCACTGTGGTATATTTGTTCACATACTAAAGTTATTAACGTATATCATTTCGACTCTTTATTATTTGATATAAAAATAAGAAGATGTGGTAAGATTGCCAATGAGACAACTCTCCACCAGAGACAAAATTACGTAGAAGGTTAGCAAGTTCTTTCGGGTTTCATCATCTTATCGATATTGAACTCCAGACCGAACAACCAGTCTATGACAAAAAGTGACTAAATTGTATGTACATACATTATATATATAATTACATATAATGTAGGAAGTTGTATTACTTACATAATATATAGTTAAGTCAAATCTTATAACATATATTTGACAGGTAAAACAAATTTATATTAAATAATATATCCAAATTTTATCTTCAATCATCAGTTGTCAAGTGGAAAAATTAGTGGGTGTTAAAGTAGGAGATTTTGTTTTAGTTATTTTGAAAACTGGAATTGATTTCAACTTGCCGAACCTCGTAAATTAAAACTAAATTATGAAAATACTTTATTTTTACTAATTTACTAACAACTTTTAAATAAACTTCATAAATATCTTACCTTTTTCATAAAGAATGCAAATCTGTTTTGGAAATGATCATTGAAATAGAACGGCAAACTCTAACGAAAGGATAGAGAGGAGTCCATGTCAATATTGACCAAGTTGTATTGTTAATGTATAAATTATACAAACAAAGAATGAAAAGCGTCTTTAATTGCCATGCCTGGTATAGAGAGATTTTTGTGGAACATCAAACAAGTCAAACAAACACAGATATATTGAACCATAGATATCAATTCATATTGTCTTCGTTTTAAAAGGTTAAATGTTTATTAATTAAATTGAAAGTAATATGTAAACTGAGTATGTTTATATTGAAACATTATTATGAAACATTATAGAACAATATAAGCATTGTAAAAGTTCTATATGTTTATTTGGGTTACCAGCAAAAATACATTAAAGCCACATGGTTTAAACAGAATACAAAAGAAAAGTTAATATATCTAGTTACAAGAATGCAGAATTTGTTCCAATAAAATACAGTTGTTGTTAACACTGCTAAAATAAATTTAATACAGTGATTTCTCATTAATGGTAAATGATGGCGAAAAAAACGAATGTAACAGAACTATGAACGTCTTTTTCTGAATGATTGCATTGATAGATTCTCACGAAAAGGATTTTGAATCAGAATAACATTTAAAAGGTGTAAATATACACACAAAAAACTAAAGGTCTCTTGTTCTTTCGATGTACTTCATCTAGCACAACACTCATATTGATATAAATTAGTATAAAAAGGTCATTACAGTTTGTTTTTACATCAAAATACTAAAATGTTATACAATGTTCAAATTATTGAATGTGTCTGCATGCATTTATCTATGAATCTACATCTTTTCAGGACTATTAAATGGTTTGGCTCATGATCGATGTTCACTTCTTCGATCCGGTTAAAAAAATTTAACTTCGGTGAGTAGAGCCCTTTCATGTTTCTCTTTTCTTTTTGTTTTGTTTGACCACTATACTGGGTTCATTCGACCAGTCCATCATCACTGAGTATTCATCTGAGTCATAGTCTTCTTTTGTTTTGTTCGGTGCTGGAGCCCTCTGTCTCATGTTAAGATATTTGACTTTACCTAGTAGATAGGCGATAGCGCTGATGCAGATCAGGACCAGGATTGATAGTATCACTATTATACCTATTACAACAGATGGCGTCGATGTAACAATAAGTGGTTCTGGGTTATCTGAAAACAAAAAAAAACTGGACAAGTAAAATTTAAGATAAATTAGCCAATGGCAGTAATGTACAGTGTTACGTTCTATACAGGTATTATGTTACATACAAATGACTGTGTCATTATTGATTCAGTTTCATAATATTATGTCATACGGTGGATACCATGCGTCCTTCGGGGTTAGTGATTTTAAAACAAACTATGTATACAAACAAGATAACCAAGATAGTTCACATATTTCATACCTATGAATGTTTTCTACGGGACCTCCTAAAGGTGCATCCTTTCATGAGGGTGCGGATGGTGGTCCTTCATTTCTGTATTCTTTAATTTTTAGGCATTTTTTCTTTATTCTTTATATGTTATGCCCATTATTCTTTATTCTTCATATTTTAGCGCCCCATTTTTCTCTATTTTTTACATTTTTTGGTCCATCCATTTTTCTCTATTCTTTATATTTTTGTAAACCCCCATCCAGACCCTCTTTCGTGGATACATTTTGCATGTGCAAGAATATGTCACATTTCCAAGCGAGATAACCCAATCTGTTTATATTGGACAGTAGATAATTAACGATAACTCTTAGCTCCTTCCAATAGATGTCGTTGCATTTACTAATCTTGTTAAATACAACAGAGACATGTCTCCGATAAAAATTAATTAGCGTCTTCACGGGAGTTATAAATTACGATACTTAAGTTAGTGGTCTTTAAAAGGACTATAATATTGAGATCAAAACCTCGTCGAGATTATAAATCAATGTAAGAAGGGGAAATTATTTTGAAAAATTAGGGAAAAAATCCATAATTTTTGTTAATTGATCTTGAATGACACTTTTTAACAAACAGTCATTAAACGTATCTCATGAGTTTTGATGTTCAAATATCTTTAAAAATACCATCTAGGAGGTTATATGACATCCTTGTTACCAAGAAATTTAATATTTTCATTTGTCCTTATGCAACAGAGCTGACGACGAAATTGGTACCGAACCGTAGCTTGTTGCAATTTAATCACCATTAGTAATGAAATAATTATATGGCATGATATCAGCTGTATTTTTTATAAACATTTTAACATCAGCAAACATAAGTTTGTCCAGCTTTCTAACAATAGGCTATATGCATTCATTCATTTCAGTACAATCATTCATTTATGCCTTGGACAAATAAGTTTGCTTTAAAATGATGCTATATATGTCTTTGAAGAAATAACTTACAAGCTAGATGTTTTTCATTTTTTAAATGTTTTATGTAAAAACGGCTAAACATATCTCAACCATCTTTCGTAAGTAAGGTGTAAGCAGACAAAAAGGTTCAATAAATCAAATTTAGACAATTGGTGAAAATTAAAGATATAAATTCTAAGACTAAATAATTGAAGAATAAGTCATTCAACAGTTAAAATATATTTTTATTGAAATTGATAAGTAGAGCTCTCTCTCTGATTGATAAGTGAAGATTTATCAATTGTGATAACTAAAGACATCATCATGAAGCGAGCTAGGTCGCAAGCGCTTTTATAGTGGGTCTCCCTTTTTATGTGTGCTTAGGAGTAATTCTTATTTGAAAGTTTTCTTTCATATTTCAACTTATTTTCACCCATCTAAAATTTTCTAACTGCTATCAGTGCGATTTAATACTAACAGTATTTATATCTGATGTCCCTCTGTCCTTATTTTCAACAGTACAAGAAAGGTATAAAATTTGCCTGAATTAAGTCACGGATAAAAATTCACAGGACAATAAGGGACGACATCAAAAGTTCAATGTAGGATAAACAAACTTAATTCACGTAGTTTTTTCACTGACTCCCCCCACCCCCCTCTTAACTTAATTTGGGAAAAATTGATTGATCAATACAGATATATGTAAAATCGATGTCAAATAAACAAAACTTGCAGCAATTTTTACCCCCACCCCCACCCCCAGACTATTTGAATTAAGTTTTTATCCTACATTGATCTTTTGATGTCGTCCCTAAATCAAAGCTCATTTATGCGATTCATAGTTTGTCTTTGATAAATAAATCGCCTTTAAAAAAAAACAATTTACATTGTTCATGAACAACTGATTATAAAAACTTGGGAAACATTTTTCTTGTTTGAGATTTTTTCCACACAGCAAGAAAGATCGAAAATTTAAATTAAAAAAAGTCAGGGACACAAATTCGTCGGACAAAACTAAATTAATAAATATAAGTTAGTTTTTATGAGTCGTGGCATATGCACCAGAACAAAGGTGTTTTGAAATACAAGGAACACCCAACATATCAACGAAGAAGGCCTCTTTTGCAGTGCATAAGATTAAAACTTGTCACCAGGTCTTCAGCAATCGGCTTTTTAATATCCATCTACAATGACAACACATTCATCATTGTAACAGAAACCAACATTCAATGTGTTGTAAGCGTTACATTTTTTCACACAAGAACATTTTGAACAGTGTATTTCTAAAATGCCCGAGAGACAACTTACATGTGTTTTGTATTGCACCATTAAGTAATTAAAAAAACATATTATTATATAGAAAATTACAAAATAAAAGAAGAAATAAAAAAATAAAAGCAGCAAATTAAACTATATATACATAGATAACACTAATCAATTTACTTTCATGGTCAAACTAAAGAGCGAGGAACACGATTCCCTAAAAAAGAGTGATTTGAAATATTTTTTGCATTAGTTTTCGAGTTATCAAATTTGTTTTAATAGTTCCACCACATTGATGTGATGTCATTACAGAATGATACTTCCACAACAAACCGTGCATACATTCATTACATGTACATATGTCACCAATTAACACAAGTTGTATTGTATCAGATTCAATTTAATAAAACAAACAGTGGCATCCTGTTGAGCATATATAAGACATCGTAATTGGAGATAGGAAAGACAATCAAGCGACAGGGTGCCTGCTGATGATAAAATTCATTTGACAATATATCAATTTCGAACTTTTTTAATATACCACCTTTTCATTTTCTTTAAATATTATCGAAATACAATTGATGGAAAAATGTTTTACGGGTGAAAAAAAAATTATTAAACAGCGAATCATTTATTATTATTTAAATGTAAATGTATACTTTATCATTTATCATTAAATACGTTTCACCAAATATAAATAAAAAATATCTTTATAGTCTCTATTATATAAAATTATACGAACTGTGAACTATCATGAACAAGAACCCTTATAGTAAAACTATTATGTCCTTGAACAGATGAGCTATCCCGACGAATACAATTTAATATAATTAAATATAATTTTATTTTGTATTCAATATTTATCGTTTCTATTTAAACAATAAAAAATAGCCACAGTGAACACTTTGAATTTGAACTTATTATGTATTATTTCATTTATTTAAGAATAACCGGAATTTAGTTTACATGTATAACAGTATGATCTTGTAATGTACGTTGTTTTCGTATATTACATTTGTGTTGGTTATTTTTTTCAAAGACAACTTTTCAAAACGCCGGAGACCTAAGAATTTCTTAATTTAAACTGACTTTTCTGATATCAAAATATAGCTTATTGACAGGAGTATTCAACAGTATGTGTTAATAGTATTTCCTCCGCATATTAAGTGTGCTTCAATTATTTTAGTTACTGCTGTCTCGTTTCTTTTGAGGTCATTCATCGATATTTACTGATGTGAGTAAGGGAATTTAGATAATGAATTTTCAAAAAATCGGAGACCTAACAATGAGATAAGATAAATAGGATTTTTTAATACCACCAGAAAGGTAAATCTATCATGAATTCGGTCGTATGTGTTAATAAGAATTCAGATGATTAATAAAAATAATATGAAGAATTAATGAAGAGTACCTATTTATTTTCCCATTACTTTCTATGTTAATCGAACATCATTAAAAACATTGCACCCCGGGTGTCGCTGATAAGGGTAATCGGCCATTAGTGTCCTTCATTCTTGGGTATGGAGAATCACGAGAATTTATTCGGACTGGTTAAGAAGATGTTTCGAGTGGGAGATGCAAACTGACGAATGGACAGACGTTAGGATAGATCCATGTACATACGTATAGAAAACCCCATTTCCAGTGATTTTTAAATCAAGAAAATCATTAATCCAAAGCGATATTAACTAATGTTACGGTGTAAAAAATCTTTGAAAGTATTTTAGGGTTAGTTGGTCTCCGTTGACAGTTACTATTTCTCTACTCTGTGAACAACACTACTGTATAATCAAACAGATTATTTCCTATATAACAACATGGTCTTTCGATAAACTATATTTTTATAGCACTTATAATAATTCCTTCATGTAACAAAACGCTTATTGGACATGCGATTGAAATGATTAATGCGATTGGTCTAGATATCTATTAGAAGATAAAATATGCCGATAATTGATTGATATTCTATTGGGGACTAACTGTGCCATTCTTATTGCTGATTTGTTCCTGGCAGGTTATGGCTTAACATCTTAAAGACACAGCAAAACAACACATTATAGATATTTTCTTTATATCAATGGAACTAAAGCGTGACTCAGTAAGATCTATAACGAGCACCTGTAACGATAGATTTTTCTACCATTTTACATGTACAGATTAAAATTTAAATGTTTTAATACTTAGCTCCAAAAATTGAAGTTGAAGACAGTTGTGAATTAGATATACAAATTTTATATGTTTCTACAAATTTTGCTTCGAAGGGCTTTCGGAACAAACGTAGTTTTACTTCCTATATAATTTTTGGTTTTGAATAAGAATGTCCTGTTTTCCTATCGTAGAAAATTATTTAAATTCAAAATGCGGTTTTGGGCCATATTTTAAACAGTTACACTACAGACTTTACAAATTTGTTACATATTCAGAAATACGATGTGATGTTGTTTCAGTCTTAAAGTATACATACAGCTGTAACACTGCGTAAAGATAAACTACTTTTTGAAAGAAAAAACTTAGCCGCACCTTCTAACTTACAAATCTTCTCGACTCTGGCCGATTTGGAACTTATCATGCATGTACTATATAAACTTTTTATTATAAACAACTGTGTATTGCTGAATAGGTCATGTTGACCTTTAAATGTTTTTTTTTTTTTGGTTTTTTTTTGTGTTATTAGCTTGCTGTCTCATTAGCTTATAACCCACATTCATTTTTCATTGAAATAACACATACTGTAGAAAACTCTCGAGTCCGGTGTTGTTTTTATATTGGAGCAGTCACACTTTTCTGTTGTTAAACGAACGTTTTCTGCTGGAAAGGCCCCATCATCTCCACTGCCTTCTACGACATCATGGTTAACTATGTTGTAAGCTGGTAGAAGACCTTCTGACTCGATACTTTTGTCATCTAATGTTAGTGAGCAATATACTGATGAACAGAACAATACCTTCAATAAAACGGACAAGCTTTATTACGTGTAGGACAAATGGATGGATGCTTAATATACAGTGGATAGACTTCAAACCACATTCGGGACTAGAATATGTTAATTAGTACAAACATTTTCTCTTCGATACACTAGAACGACACATTATTGACGTTAAGTAGGATTGTATGTGGTAGCTAACAAGGTAACTTGTCACCATACCCGGGCACATTATTCCAACTCCGAGCAGACTAACATTTGCTCTTACTCCTGAATGATGCGTGCTTGGGGGAGAAGTCGCGAATGAAAGATATTAATCATTTAGTTTGTCTCGGCCAGTGACCGCATGTTATATTACAAGAAATGTGCACAGAAAGTAAACTAAAAGTAAAGTTATTATAAATTAATAATGCAACGGTCGTCTAAAGTCTCGGGCAGAATATATTTTGTATTCTCAAATGTCCTTGCTTCATTTTGCTGATAACATAGTAGTTGTATATAGACTTGTACTGAACCAATTAAAGCGCTACATGTATTTTCATACTGATACTTGCAAGTCGTATTTGTTTGATGTCTCTTGGTTTTGTTTCCTTTTATCGTTTCTTAAGGCTAGGATGTCACACAAACAAATATAAAAACAAGAAGATGTGGTATGATTGCTAATAAGACAACTATCCACCGAAGTCTATTTTTGATGTCAAACTTTCTTATCTTGACTACATTGTAAATATACATGTATATATTACATGAAATGAACTTTAAAAGTTATATAATGTCTAAACACTATCAACCATGATTCAACTAAATATCCTTCTTTTTAACAAATATTTCTGTATTTATTATAGGGCTTAGGTATATCAATCAGTATTTCTCTTTTTAAAGAATAAACGTGTTCATGTCTGAACCCTTTTCCGGCTGATTAGATAAATTTATATGCAACAAGCTAATGGTAATATATATATATTTATAGAAATGCCGAAACGCAAAGGGCTTCTTTACTTTACTAAATTTTTTAAGATTCAAAAACACCTTTTTATCATAGAATATACAAATATCGTACAATATACAATATATAGCCTATAGATGGTAATTTTGTTTAGAATAAATTAGAAAATCGCATTAAAACTCACGTATTGCAGTAGGATAAAAATAAGTTTGTGTTGACTCATCTAAAACTTGAAAAAGTCACCCTGAAATTAACAATGTTTTTTGTATTTATATTAGCTGTAAAAGCAAACCACAACATAATTTTACACATGTAACACAACTAAACATAAATTGAAATACTACATTACAACTTATTATGTGTAATTGTCACGAAGCTAGAACACCTGTCTCTATTGTTGGAGACTGCTTTGTTAACCTCTTAATGTCTTTGTTTATTTTTGTCGTTTTGTTGCTGCCCATAACACCTTATATTCATCCTATTTTATATCAATCATGCTTGAAATCGGACTGTGTCTTTATTATACTGTGCAGACTATCAATTATAGCAGTGATAATGTGTTGTTGGTGGCAGCTCTTTGCTGATCCATGTTAAATTAATTCAACTATTTAAACTCGAGGCGATTTAAACCTTGATATATTGTTAAGACACTGTCAGTAGTTGCATGAAGCCTGTTTATGGACCTAATAGATTACTTTTGTTTTTGTGTTTTTTGGTCACTATATCATGGACGTTTATTCCTTATATTTGCATTGTTCTGTATGCTACTGCGTGTTGTTAGGTTGTGGTATGCGATTAACGCAAAAGAGTATCATTTGATGCACGTGCCCTAGACAGATTCGGCGGGCTACTAGAAAGATCAGGCGGTGTCATAGAAGGATCAGACGGCTGGCGTGCGTACCCGCTAAATTGAATGAACAAATAAACAGAATTGCAACAGTTTCGTTAAGAATCAACATACTGTAAAAATTACTTTGCCTCATTTATTCTCATTGACCGAAATTGAACACCTTTTGTAAGGGCAGAACTTACATAATAAAACTTAAAATACTCTATACCACCTTTGATATATCCTCAATAATTCTGTTTCCAAAAACAGTATTTGAAAATTAAGAAACACATATACCTTTGAACCTTATATCTCAAATATAATTAGATAAGGCAATATCCCTACCCCATAAAATCCCTGGTATCTAACCCTAGCATCCTTTGTCTTCCACACAATACATAGTTGTATAGAATGCTGACAATGTAATTACTACAGTGTAGAGGACAAATAATGTTCCTCGCTAAAACGAGTTTGTCTTAAAAAATACAAATATTATAATATTAGTTATTTATACATTCACAAAACTAATATATATTCCGGTGACATAAATTAGGTGCATTGGTTGTTTTCATACCTTATCAACTAAAACTCCTGAACGGAAATGCAAAATCTTAACATTAACATTGTGAATTTGAGAGAGAAATCGTGACTTACCTTTAAAGCCTATATATTCTCATCAAGACGAATCTTCCTCTCTCCTTCAAATGTCGTCTTTTAGGTAGAACTGATGCAAAGTCCAGTTATTTTGTGTCATTAAACACGACAAGGTGACAATTTTTAAGGAATGACTGATTTTATGAATTGACTAAAAAAAATGAGACATAAATCCAGGTAACAATATCAGTATGTAATAGCTGTCAAAAAACTGTCAAAACTGTCTCCCAGCAATCATTACATACTGGGACATGTAAAAGGTCAGATGTAATCATATCTAATGATGTACAAATCTGTTGATAAATTGTAGTATTAGGAACGGGTCAAAAAAATAAAAGTACATTAAAACATTTTGCATCTATATTGGATTATTTGTTTGCATATACAAAAGAGGGGATATTTGGAAATGTAACATTAAGATGGAACTGTTTTACTTTCATTAAGGTAAACGTGTTAATAAGTCAGACTTTATTAGAGATTAAGTCAATGCTGCATTCTAAAATTCATATATTTTGAATGCCACATTGGTGAAGTCTCGGGTGGATCATACATGCGTTTGTATGTGTCTGACATGTGACTGTTCCCACTCGCCTTATATTTACAGCCCCTCTGGTCATGTCATTACTCGGGATCTAAACATAATTCAACATGAACATCTCCGAAAGGTGATATCTCATGGTCCTAAGTTCAGAGAACCCCAACAAATCAATTGGAACTATAACTTCAAAGTAATTATGGATTCCATTGAGGACTACGCCAGAGCATGGGCTAAATGAGAAGAAGTTGAACTGGACACTTTGTCAGAATTGGGTCAAAACAATCAGGTCTCTGATAAAACGTCGAATTCATTAGTTGAAAAACTGAGTGAATGATCGACCAAAGTCAGTTTTCAGAGACAAAGAAGCTGTGAAATGTCTATCATATCTTCACGGTAAATATGTTGTTGTTCCTGCGGACAAAGCTACAATTAATATTGTCTGTTTATGTAAATCGTACTACTACGAGTGTCTTGTAAAAGAATTAGGAATAAATGAGCACTCAGGTAATCCCACATACAAAAACATATCATTTGACAAGGATTAGATTTTGCGAATCATATGTCCTTAATGGCTTCAATGAACATTACATTGAACAGCAAATCTGAGGACTTACCTTGTTTGTTTTGGATACCTAAGCTTCACAAAATTCCGTACAAACAACGGTACATTGACGGCTCATCTACATGTTCTACAAAGGAATTGTCCATTAGATTGACAAAAATTCTGTCCGCAGTGAAAGAGGGTCTTCAGAAATACTGTGAAACTGTTTACTCGCGTAGTGGTATTAACCATATGTGGATTCTAAAATACTCTAAAAAAAACTTCTGGATAATTTTGAATCTCGATCTTTCACTGAAATTAATTCGATCAAAACTTTAGATTTTTCAACCCTGTACACCACCATTTCCCATTTGAAATTAAAAAATCGTCTAAAAGAAATAATCCACAATGCTTTTCAATATAAAAATGGTAGCATACGCTATAAATTTATTACTTTGGGATACTATACGGCATATTTTGTTTATAGTGAACAAAGAGGTAAAACATGCTACACAGAGGAACAAGTGATCAGTATGCTGGAGTTTCTTATTGACAACATATTTGTTGAATCTGAGGTAGACTTTTCAACAAATTGTCGGCATTCCTATGGGAACGAACTGTGCGCCTATCCTTGCCGACCTTCTTATTTTCATATGAGTCGGAGTTCATTCAAACACTTGTCAAAAACAAGAAGATCAAAGAAGCCAGATCATTTAATTTCACATTCAGGTATATTGATGATGTTCTTTCCATTCACAATCCAAACTTTTCTGATTGGGTTCCATTAATATATCCTACGGAACTAGAAATTAAAGAAACAACAGACACGGCTTCCACCGCCTCGTTTTAAGACGTATACCTCGAATTTGACATAAGCGGTCATCTCAGTACCAGAATCCATGACAAACGAGACGATTTTAATTTTGAAATTATCAATTTCCCCCACCTTAGTAGCAATATACCAACTTCACCTGCATATGAGATATACATTCGGTATTCAAGAGCTTGCGGCTGCTACTCAGACTTTATAAAACGTCACCGGTGTCTGAACAGAAAGTTTATGAACCAGGGTTATGTCAAAGAACGTCTCGTCCTTTTTCTAAAAAAAAAGTTCATCGGAAGATACCAAGACCTTGTTGATAAATATTCCGTATCAACTTCACAGATAATACACGATGGTCTAGAAGTATAGAGTCTAGGTACTGATGTTGTTTATCATCTTGATTGCGTGTTGTAGTGTTCTTTTGTTTGTCTTTGTAAATTATTTACTTTACTGTTTAGTCCGTTTTTGGTGGTGTCCTCTTGGCGTGGCTCGGAACTTGTGCAACCAACCATTGTGTTATTGTGCTGCCGTCCTTTTTTGTGTTCTTGTCTTTCATTTTTGCTAATGTGCTTTGTCTGTATGCCATTTTGTTTTTCTTTGTTGTCATATTTGTTTGTTTTTATAGTGATTGAGATTATAACACAATGTTGACTGCTGTACCCCTATTTTTGACATTTTTACCTATTATGTCTGTTTGTTTTGTTCACATATTGTGGTCAATATAATGGAATTTTATGCGACTGTCATACAAGTGAGAGGTTTGGCTAGCTATAAAACCAGGTTTAATCCGCCATTTTCTACATAAGGAAATGCCTGTACCCAGGGACTATTAGTATAATAGTCCCAGCTGTACCAAGTCAGGAATATGACAGTTGTTTTCCATTCGTTTGATGTGTTTGAGCTTTTAATTTTGCCATTTTATAAGGGACTTTCCGTTTTGAATTTTCCTTGGGGTTCGGTATTTTTGTTATTAATTTTTTTTTGTGTAAAATATTATACATTTTAAATTTCTATTGGTGAGTCTTATATAGGCGAAAAGCGCGTCTGGAGGATTACATTATCAGGCTGGCATATTCAATGAGTTTGTGTCTTTACCTTGACCACCTGCAGAGAACTTTGCATTCGAGTGGTTAATATGCTAAGATATTATCGGGATCAACCGATTTCACACGCTCCATATATACGCCATTAAAATAACAAGTACCAGAGACATATAATACATATGTCTCTGTAAGTACGTAAATAGACGATGTAACGGATTTTTATTAAATTTTGCAAGCAAGTACACAGTGTGCAAATAGAGCATACGAAGCAGCATAATCAACGAATAACGAAATGATGACATATGGAACTTTTATTTTCATGGCACTAACAAATCAAAAACTAAGATTTCGTTGCATGCTACCGTCACGACGCCACGCTTACTTTTGCTTGGGACTATTACATGTATTGCTCCCCGATTTTATTTATCACACTACATACATGATTCAACTATTATATTCAACAAACGTGTTCAATAAAAATACCCATGCGATCGTTGATTTACCAACCTATTAACACTGATGGTGCTCTGCATCTAGGAAAAGACGATATTTTCTAACACGATTCTTAAACTAGTTTGATATGATACATTTCAGTTTTATTTTTTCCATTTATTCTGTATTAGACAATTTCATATTTTCTTGTCGATTTTACCAGAGACATATAATGTATTTTGTGTTTTATTTTACATAATGATAAACGTACTGTTCAGTCTTTTAAATTGTTGGCTTAACTTACAAATCTCTGTACAATTATCATCATATCATAACTTTTGCCATAAATAAATCTATTTATAAATTCTAGCCTGGAAAATGTCCAGAACCTGCACTTACTTCCATGCTTTCAGCTAAACCTATATTTGTAAGTTACTTATTTGTATGCGTGTTTCATTGTTGCAGTGTGTTTTATATTCGCCAAAAGGCTTAGTTTAGAACATGTCTATACGTTTCAGTTACCTAATCAAACTTACTTAAGATGACATGCTGGCTCTTCCTTCTTGTAAAAACAAGAGAGCTTACTCTTTAAAGTCCGTGGATTAGTTTAGTTTAAACATATTTTATTGTTCAAAAGGACAAATGGATTAAACACAAGTTGTTCAACTTAGTATCGTTTTCTCCGTAATCTGACATACTAGAATGATCCAGAATAACCTGATTGAAAACATTAAAATACAAGTGAATTGCTAGCACTGCAATCTGATGCACCCCAAACTGCATATTTATTTAGAGAAACATTTCTTTTTCAAGAGTCCAATATTCTGGTATGATTGGAGGGACAAATGAAAAAGTAATATTATTCTTAATTTTCATCTGTATAAAATTAAATGTGTTACTTTGAGAAAAAAATTCTATGTTTGGCAAAAGTGACTTTGAGTGTTGAACTATTGACCATAAAACCAAGAGGCTTCGACCCATTCCCTATATCTTCAATCTATATCAGGTGCATTCCAATCTAAGAAAAATTCATTTTTAGTAAGTGACCCTGACCTTTGACCTATTGACCCAAAAATGAACATGCTTCCTTTCCTTCCCTTCATTGTTCATCTGTAAAAGTCTGATTACAATCAACCAAGGGAAACACAGATTACCATACTGAAACAATTTTTCCAAATCTTTTCTTTTCTTTAGTTAGTGACCTTAACCTCTGCTGGATTGACCTAAAAATCAGAAGGTTGCTTCCCCTTCCCTTTATCTACCATCTGTATAAGTTTCAATACAATTATTCAAGGAAAACTCAAGTAAGCATCAAGAAACAATATTTTTCTAAGTCAAATCAAAGACATTAAACTTCCATTTGAAAATGAATGCAGCATTATGGAGTTAGCAAAGACAGAACAGTAAAGAACCAGAATAATTTGTCCAGAAAGAATGACTTGTCTTCCTGTTGGTAGTTACATGTACCTTGTGAGGTAGCAGGTTAAAAAGCTCCATATGTAAGACTAGGTACAAAGCAGTGTTCATGACCATATCACATTAACATATTATTATACTGAATTGAATGTAATATAAATTGCCTCAGCAATCATCATCTACAAATATTGTAAATAAAAAGATGTATACAATTTAATCAATCGAAATTTACAATTATTTTATATAAGTTTGCTTCCAGTAATTAAAAATAAATGAAGAATGTGTTCATGGAACACAGATGCCCCCGCTTATAAATATATGGCAAATTCTGCAATTTTTCAATTTATCAAGGGACATAATTCAAGAACGGTGATGTGACATAACCCAAATTCGACCTTGATCTGTGTTTGGTGGTAAAATGCATTGTGTATAAGTTTCATAACATTTGGTTGAGGCAAACTAAAGATAAAGTGAGGAAACAGCAAATTTAGCAATGTTTCCATTTATAAAGGGACATAACTCGAGAACGGTGAAAGTGATGCCAGCCAAATTCGAACTTGATCTGTGTTCGGTGGTAATATGCATTGTTTTTAAGTTGTTTCATTATATTTGGTTGAGGCAAACTAAATTTAAATGTAGCAATTTTTCCACTCATAAAGGGACAACACTGGAAACAGTGAAAATGACGCCACCCAAATTCAAACTTGATCTGCGTTTGGTGGGTTGAGGCAAACTAAAGTTAGAGAATGGAAACTAATTTTTTGAAATACAGACAAGGGTAAAACTTAATGCCCCCTTGGCGGCAGCAGGGTCATAAAAATAAGGATTTTAATTTTTGTTTTCTTCAGACCCTCCAACATCAATGGTATACATTAAAGGACATTTTCCCAGAAGGACATATTGAACGGCCTCCATTTGGCTGGTTTCCTCCCACTAGAGACTGATGATTTCAAGAACATTGACAAATTCAAAATCTGTCACTCTCCAAGTAATTTTTCTGTTAATGTAGGCAATCTATTAGCATAAGCTTGTACCTCAACAGTTATTTAGATCATATCTACTAGAATATGACAGAATATTTGAAGACCTTTGAAACTAGAGCCCATGCTTATTATTCTGTCTACTGTAACATGTTTCCAATATTTTTTCCTCCCAACTTGTTGTCCCCCTCATGATTTGATATCAAAAGTGATCCCCATCTCCTTATCAACTTTTAGGATAAGAAACAAGTCATCACTGTCTATCCCTCTTTGAGCTTTTCCAAACACCTTCATTCAGCATTTGATAGAGTTAACCCTATTTTCTGTAATGCTGTTGCATCATCCTCTTAAATATAATGTAAACAATATGTTACAGAATGACAGAAATTTTAGACACCTACAAAACATGTACATACTGTATGGGGTTTTTCTCATTGTTGAAGGTCGTACGGTGACCTTACATCCACATCATTTGAGCTCTAGTGGATTGTTTTCTCATAGGCAATCTTACCACATCTTATTTTTTTTATGCAAATATTTTCATTGACTCCATGTCTACCCCACTACTTCCTAAGCCTGAAACATGATAATTATAACAAGTAAACATGGACATCTTGCTTTATGCAAATATTTTTTTATATTCTTTAAGTTCACAGCAATCTTAAATTCTAAGTCTTGAACGTATTCAGAATGAACCTTTGTACCTAATATAATAGATGGTTAATAGCTTAAATGCTATATTTTCATAAAGTACAGTATCCATTTTCACAAAAAAAACTTGCAAGAAAAATTCCTCAGAAGTCAATTGAAATTTTGTATCAGTATAAGATTTTTGTGTTTTGGCATGTTGGATTATGACAACAAATAATGTAGTTCCATCTCCTTTGCTGTTTGTCACAGACAACAAAACACAGTTTATGAAGACAAATACTGTAGTTCGATCTCTCTGTTGTTGGTCAGACAATAAAACAAAGATGTTCTTGACATATTTTATTATAAAATTCCAATGACAATTCATTGTTAAGGATGACAATAGGTTATGTTTGTTCCACAAACTATTTTGAAAAAAAAATGAATTACTAACTTTGTAATGCTACAACCTGTATATGACTTTACTGTTTGACACAATAATATATTAACCAAAGTCCACTACCAGTAATGGACACCACTAACAATTAACTTTTCATAAACATGTGAATAAATATGCTTAGTGTAAAACTGACTCTTTGTTTTACAGAAATCAAAATGTAACAAAGGGAGATCACCTCCTTAACAATGACAAAAGGGAGATAACGTCTTACAATAACCGAGCATGATGGAAAAGTAAAACTTTCACCACTGTAGAACCTTCAACCTTGTCATACCTAATTAATTATCCTTTAAAACAATTAATAATTCAATGGAGTTAAACTTACTGTCAACATAAAAAACATTTCAGCCAAACTCATCAAATGATTTGAATTTTACATTTGAAACTTTGAAAGCATTTTGATCAAAGTCATGTAAATAATTCATTAACTGTCTTTGAGATAAACAACCTGTAGTCTTACAGGATACTTGTCCCCATTGAAATCCTACCACATCTTATTTTCAGATTGTGTATTCCAACACAAAATGCAAAATTATTTAAAATGTAAACTTTAAACTTAAAATCAACTAATATGACACCAAAAAACCTTGGTGCATTTTTCAACTAAATCAACTTAAAATGATACCTAAAACATGGCATAAACTTTCAGTTATGAGATATAAGTTTGGGCTGAATTTCCATTTTGAAGAATACTCTTGTACGTAAAATAGTAAAACAAAAACTAATAAATTCTTAACAAAAACCTTAAAGTATTTGCAAATCTTTAGATACTTAAATCACATATTGCTAATTAATATACATATAAAAAGTCATCTATTTACAATGAAAACATTGTTTTTAAAATGAACTCCATATTAAAAAAAGAGCCATTTCATTTCATTTTTTGCAATTGATTAGAAAAAAAAACAATAACCAACCATATTTTACACTGGAAGTATATTTCTGTAGGAAGACCTGGGGTAAATATATATTTTGATCTCATTTAGTTTATTCCATTTATGAAATTGATGAAGCAGGTACACCTGTGAGGTTAAGATTATCCTTACTATTTATTTATACTAAAGTTCATATGTATCTTTCATGCACAAAAAGTTATAAGTTCACATATCTACATAAGTGAGTGCACCCCAATCTCTATTATACTTAGTATAATAAAATAACACTAAATAGTATTGCCATCATGCTATTTAAAAAAAAAATTCAATTAAAGTGTTTATCTTTTTCCAGAATCTATTCAACAAAATATATTTTAATGCATTTTTCAAAATGTTCTAAATGCACATTTCATAAAATTTGTTCAAAGAAAATAAAAAGATCTGAATAAATTAAACAAGTAAAATCACACTCTTAGATTAATTTCATAAAAAATCAAGACAATATAACAAATTCAAATATAAATACTATTTCCATTAAATATCAACTTTAGTGAATTTTGGGGATATAGATTGATTGGGTGATTTTCATCCAATTGGAAGTATATTTTCTCCATTTTATTAAATGTACCTCTGTAGTATATTTAAACCCAAATATAACAATCTTTATAGATGTCATTGGTTTTTATTTAAATTTTGCACCTAAAAACTTTATGTTTCCAAATATTTTTACAGAAAAAGATATGATATATTGTGCTATCGATATCAGTTTTACACTATGTCCTTTCATTGTTATATTAAACTGTACAACATTCTGAAAATTAAAATCTGTTCTAATGGTATAATTATTTATATCGTTTAAAATTTAATGTTCTCAGAAAAAATAAGTATTTATTATCATGAATCATTTTTTACGCACTTTTAGATTCTTAACTGTATGATCAAAATTGTAAATTTGACTATTATTGGTTTAAGGTGATGCTAAAGACCACTTTAATATAAAGATACAACTCAATTTATGATTGCATTGATGCAAGGTATATTTCATATCACACAGCATGGTTTAAAATTTTACTAATCATATTCAAAGGAAAAATTGGATCTTTTAGCATTTGGGCATCTATATTCAGACATCTTTTTAAGAATAATAATAAAAATTAATTTGTCAAACAAAATTGTTTTGTCAACCTCTTATTTTCAACCTATCTCAATATTTATAATGCTGTTATATAAATAATGAATTTATGACTTATATACATATATACAACAACATTTAATGTTGACTAATTACAATGCATGAGTGGTAAAGTTCTAACAAAATAAACAAATAAACTAATAGTATGTATAAATTGTCTAAAATAAAGTGTCTAAGAACGACACATGGATGAATAGTATGTATATGTAAGAACAACACACGGATGAACAGTATGGAATATACATAGGATGACATATTATATCGAGGTAGTTAAAACAAAAACACATAACTGTATTGTTTGTACAAAGCTCTTACATATATATTATATATGTATTTCAATAAACATACCACACATATATTTCTATTAAGAAATATAAGTTACATCATAAACATTGATATTAAAACTGTGTTCATCAAATGTATGTATCACTCTGAAAATGTGTCATTATCTTTCAACATGTCCATCCCTTCAAACTATGTCTGTATAAATAAACTTATCTTACCTCCTATACTTTTCTAGGAGTATGATTGGTTAAAAGCAACTGCGTGGAGACTGTGTATATTCCATATTAGGTTAGTAGGCGGGGCTTGTTTCAATACACAGTTAGTAATGGTGTTACGTCCCTTTATAAAAATAACATGGTGTTGAGGAAAAATTTTAAAGGTTTCAACAGAAGAAGAAATTCATGATGATGAACCATTGAAATAAATTCATAAAACTCAGTTGTTATTGTTGGCATCTGTTTTTGTATAGACCAATTGAAGTAGGTTCTTAATACTAACGGCAATGAAGACTTGATCACTTTGATAGGCCACTAGTCTAAATACCACATGTTAAGATAGTCGGTAAGATAAATTCGTTACATAGTGTGCTAGTGACCTAATACGATATATATGGGGTCAGTAAATTCCATATGGGGATTCGAGCTTCGCTCTCACCCCATATGGAATTTACTGACCCCATATATATCGTATTAGGTCACTAGCACACTATGTAACTAATAATATGCCAAAGCATTTTTTCATATGTGCCCAAACATTTCCATTTTGTTCTGCAGTCAAGTGTATTTTAATCTGATCACAGTCATCTGCATTTCTTGTAAATAGACACTAAATCTTTTCAATGCGATTTATAAATACATGTATCATTTTTTTAATAAAACAAAAATTAAGTAATTAAAGTGTATGAAAAAAACTGCAGGCTTTTTTTTTAATTATTAAACCTAAACAGTGACTACTTCTTCAGGTATAGAGTGTTACATATATAACATGGCACAGTTTTAAAATACATTATTTCAATGTTATACTACATCATTCAGACAAATCTAAAAACTGAAAAAATATCAACCTTTGAAAGTTATATTCACAACTGATGCAAAAGTTCAAAGAAAGTGAACAAATATTTAAAAAAAATTGTAAATTACTTAATAGTTTCTCCTGTTTGGCATTTTAAAATAATTTGACAGCTTGGTGAAAAAAGATTACATCAATACCATGTAATTTCAGGATAACAACACAAATTCATATAATCCAGTGTAAAGTACGGATAAATTAAAATATTTCTGATATTTAACAGTAAAAACAGTGAAAAAAGCTCTATAAAAACATTCACTTATAAAAAATAATGGCACATCAAATTACACCTGCAGTAAAATTGGTTTTGCTAAAATAATGTAGAAACTGCTTAAAATATAAATTATCAGAAAATATTTTTTTTCTTTTTAAATTTAGCTTTGTGTACATTTTATCATAAAGTAAAATTATATATAGAGGTCTAATTCAATGCTTCAAAGTCATATTCTGTCGATTTGTTTAATACATTTAAAGCACAGATAGAATTTAATTGATTTAAACATATAGGTTTGTTTAATTTTCATCTGAAAAATAATCACGGTTTGAATTGTTTTTTGACTGTTCTATTTTTCTCTAATACAGGCACATCTTTTCAGTTAGAACAATGGTGTGCAATGTATTAACCTTTTAACAGGTCCTGATTGAATATCCTGTCATAAAAGTATTGTTAATTGAATGGCATCTATTTATGAATTTAAAGGATGCATCAAAACTTTCAAAATAAATAAATAAGTTATGTTTAGTTATCCCAAGTTAGATTCAAGAGTTATCTATTTCGTGACCATAGTCCTCTTCGTAGGTCTAGTGGTTGTTACCTAGAATGCTTTCACTTTTAAGGCATGAAAAATTGGATCACATAAATATCTGCCTGGTTCCAAATTTTTGTTGAAAACCCAGGTCTTTTATTTTTTCAAACAGCTTTTAGGAATACTATACTAATATTTCTGTCTTGTGAAATATTTTTAAAAATATCAAAAATAGCAAGCACCTGCACATCAATAAAAGAAACCTACTCTGTTGCACTATAGGCATTTAACATACATCCCTTCATAACATATGAAGTGAAAAAGCGTATAATAATCAATAAATAAAACTTATGCATGCATTCTTCTGAGATATATGCATGTACTGCATAAAGCAATAAGAAATGTAAACAGTTGCATATTTAAAGAGCTTGCCATAAAATATGTATATACAAGTCTTCAGCAGTATATGAACAAAGCAGGTCTATATAGCACTATATATATCTGTACATGTATAATAAATATTAAATCTTAGCCATCTTCCTGAGATCCAACTTCTTTATTCATCATGGAGTGGTCTGGTCATTAAAAATCACTTTAGCAATATATCCATTATATCTGAGAAGAGTTGTCTACCTTCACTGATAATGCTTTTTCAACTGGTCATGAATAACACAAACCAAGCACACTGAATTTCCTTCAAATTTATATCCATGACCAGAACTATCACTCCAGTTTGTTCAGAAGTACTCCATGTAAAATAATTGCCCTTTACGTCACATGTCAATGTGTGTCCACCATGTGAACTTGAACATTTGCTATTACACTGTTAACGTCTGGTAAGATTGTTTGTTGAGGTATGATAGTTTGTTCAGGTATTGGTTGGTAAAAGTTTGTAAGTTTTGTTTGTGGGGGAGTCGGACTTCGACTCCTCCTATTGGATGACGGAGGAGGAGGTAATGCATGAGATTTAGATATTGCATACGACACTGGTTTATATCTGTCTTTACTTATAAAAGGTTCAGAACACGGCAAACTAGCATGTTCACTGTCCTCGTGTGGTGTCATGGTACTATAACCATGATCACTGTCACCACCACCTGTAGGTCGACGGTATGATGTACTCATACGATACGGGGATACAGCTGCTGGATTTTCAAATGTCGCCAACAGAAAATTTGTGTGACCTACAAAATAAGTCAAAAGTTTTCACTGACAAAAATAAAATAATAAAAGAACAGAGTTCCAATGTCCCCCTTGCGTTTCACATATTTTGAAATTTTCCATGTAATCAATATTTCCAAGGGACATAACTCTTTTAAAAATAATTGATCAGCACCAATTTTCAAATTTGTCTGAGACATCATAACAATATGGCAAGAATTGTACACATGAGAGTGCTAACAACGCAATTTTCCATATAATCAATATTTCCAGGGGACATAACTCTTTTAAGAATAATTGATCGGTACTGATTCTCGAACACATCAAAGACATTGCTGATATAAACCTATGATATAAGTTTCATAAAACTCTGGCAAGAATTGTACACAAGACTAACAAGAGAGTGCTAAACAATGCAATTTTCCATACAATCAAAATTTCCATGTGGAAATAACTCTTTTAAAAATAATTGATCGAGTTAAAAGTGAACCACAAATATAAATGTTCAACAAAGTGCAAATTTTCTATAGGCTTGTATTCAGACTTTGGCAAAACTAAGAAATCAAATATCTATGAAAAATACAATTTTCCCTGATCCACGGTATTCCTCTATTTGCTGATACTTCTATCATTAATCAATCACTATTCTTTCACATTATTTGTGTGTAGTCAATTCAAAGGTTAAGGTCCCAAAGAAGTAAGTATACTTTATTCATTCCAAATATATACAAATCAACACCTTTAAACAATCCATTTCTCTTCACATAAATCTTACCTGTTCCAGGTTCATCTATAGGATCAATATCATCTGTATCATAAAAATTTGAGGTACGATTTGTATTCTCTTGTAAAGTTGTAATGTACTGATGATTAGTGCGATGAATATGATGACGATAACAATAAACACCCATTGCTAGAACAAGGAAACATCCCATGATTCCACCAGCTACTGGACCCACTGGTGTTGTCTTTGTATTCGTCTGTTCAGTATTCTGAGCCATTGCTAGAAAATATATATTACATTATAAAAATTTGAATTTAAAACTTTCAAATGTGTTTTTTTTTTTACAAAAGCCATAAACTTGAGGTACAACCTTGTTTTTAATTCAATAATTCAGCTGTTAATTTTCTATTTGCCAGATAGACTCATATGTGCACCGTTTGAAACTTATTGTGTAAAGAATTTCTGCAATGAAGAAATACAAAAATCTCAGTAATTTGTACTGAATTTCTTCAGTTTTACAATATCTACATTTAAATTTTCATCATTGTATAGAATGTTTGTTTCACTTGATGGATAAGGAATAGATAAGGACCATTAATAAAAGGATAAATGGATATTTCTCTCATGTCTTTAGGTATCAAACCGCTACTTTATGGCTCCATGCTTTCTATGTTCAGTTTACCATGAGGATTCACACCCATTTTGTTTAAATAAAGAAGCAGTAATTTCATGTCAAACAATACCTTAGCCTGGCTTGTGATAAAAAAAAAATCAGCATACCTTAATTGCATATAAAAGTATCAAAATAGGTACTGATTATCTGAGAACGGGCAAAACATGACCTTTTATTTCAATTTCATACAACCTTTTACAATACTCAAAATAAACATTCAACAAGGGTTCAACAATGATTCCAGGTATTTAAGCTTTCATTTCATACCAAAATAATCCATATATTTGACATATTATTAAAGAAACAGCTATGGGTAGGAACCATTTTGTGTGAGATATGTACTACCCTAACATGTTCTTCCTGACCCGGCCTGGATTCATGGTTTTATATGTTAAACATATCTTATGTAAATCTGCCATATCAAAAAAAACTAATTGATAAGTATAATCTCACCTCTGACTTCATCGCCATATGGAGTTGGTGCTTCCTCTATCCCACCAAAACATACTCTTTGGTCTGCACAATAAGGTGTAGATATAGGATTCATGTCTTTATGAACCTGGCACCACTGACATCCCATCACACTTATACAACCCCTGTAAAACATAACAATAAACTGTAAAATATATCTCAGAATGGCTTAATTGGTGATTTTTCATGGGAGCAGGATAAAATCCCCCAGTTAATTACAGTAATTTTAACATTTCATGTAGTGAAGTGTTTTTTTCTGGTTTTTTTTCAAAGATTTTATTTAATATTTTCATTGACTTGTAAATTATACTTATTTTGTGCTCCTGTGAATAATTCATAGCTAAATTTAATATAGATTCCAATAAGACCAATTTTAAGTATTTGTCTTTATTTGAAGATCATTAGGAAGAATATTTCATAGAATCATTTTTAAAGAAGATGAACAAACAATGCCAACATAACAAAATACAAAGCAATATCCTGGGAAACACATGGAGACTGCACAAATATTCAGGATATTACTATTTGGAATACTATATTCTGAGATCAACCCAGAATTAGACAGAAAGGAGTAAAACAATGTCCCTGCTGCCTTTCAACATAATATTACTCTATAGCTTCTACAAGGTATAGTTTATCACTTTAGAGACAATACTTTGTATAGGAACTATAATATCTATGTTATATTTTTTTTCCTTGCTTTTGGTCAGAAACCTGAACCCAACTAGCCCTGTAGACTTACAGTTTAGTAGTTCTCCCTGTACAGATATGTTTTCCACAAGGAGTTTTATCCTCTGTAAGTTTGGGATCCAGTCTCAGAATTGATTCTTTCTCTGGTACCCTTTCACAACTTGGATTACTGAAAAAGTAAAAAAAGTCATAATTATTTACAATTTAACTATGGAACATATTGACAAAACATCAAATATGCAAATAGTTTAACAAAACACAAGTCAATCTACCAGAAATGGATTCAGTAGAACGTAAAAAATCATATAATCATTTAAAAGTTGAATTCTTAGTTTACATAACTGGAGTAGTATATCAAAATTAACTCAATTGATGCTATTCTCAGAACAGATGTTTTATCTATGGCAGTTTGAATTTTAATCAATATAAATCTGTACTGTGAATAAATTTGTTAATCAAAATTAAGTAATTTTACTGTGAATAAATTTTATTAATCCAATTTTAGGTAAACCAGAACAACCATTATACTCTATATTCATTTAGTTAGTCCACATTTTTTCTCTTTTTCCTGTATTTTTTTTTAATTTTGAAATAACACAAATTAATGAACACTTATCAGTTTATCCTATATTGATCACAACTAATTAACAACTCATTAAAATGGTAGAGTAATTAAAACCTTTAATTACACACCAAGAACTTGTTAATTTATTAATTAGGATAATAAGCTTGGGTACCCTTCTTCAATCACAAGCTATATCAACCAATAAAATTATTTCTTATTTTTCATTATCCCAAGCTGTCAAATTCCATTGAATGTTGTTTTCTTTGCACTATCCAATCAGATTGGGTGTTTTTACAACATTTTATGATAAAAACCCCATGAAAACCAGGCCAGCCATCAAACTATCACATTCAGTTATCTCCTGAACAACAACAAAAAACCAACAAGATGTCACACTACCAGTCGATTCAGTCATCTGTCCAGGATTACCTGTCTTCAATACCACAGGGATTAAACCTCACACAACATACCAGGACAACAGATACTGGTCACTTTCTTATCTTACATATAAGGAATGACTCTGTACAAGTTGACAGTAACCCAGTCCAAGTAAAGCAAGAGCCAATGGAGTATGCTACCAATATTAAACAAGAACCAGATATGAAAGCAATTGTCAAGGTGGAACCCATGGACCAAGATATAAAACCAACCCTACAAGGCATCAAACAAGAAGATGTTAAGTTATCTAACATAAAAGGGGAGATAACTCCAGAGATACCAAGGCTAACCCAAACAGAACATGTCCAACCCAGAGCAAGTGTATTCTCAAGACTTGGGGAAAAACAACAACACAACACCAGTTATTCATCAAATAACAGACATCGTGAACGCAGATTCAGAAGACACAACAAGAAAAGATCAACTAGTTACAACAATTCAGAGGAAAAGGATGATCTCCGTACATATCTGAACCAGAAGAAACAGACTCTGTCTAAAGATCTACGAGATTTGATACCAAGAAGACTACCTCTCATCATGGAGTCAGCACAAGACTGTTTCCACCTATTGACAACTGGATCCTATTACAGATAGACTTTTGTTTTGTATGACATATAAGTGTACTTGTTAATATCACTTAGTGCTAAATCAGTTTTACATATGTTTGTATTGATATTCAAATTGTCATAAGTGCTAAATATTGTTATAAATAAATATAATTATAACACAGTCCATGGTTTTATTTTTAATTCCATTAACATAAATAGACACAATTAAGAAGTCATTTATTCTAAAAGAAACCAGGTACTTGAAAAAAGCTAGCATCAACATGATATCAAAGCAGAAGACATTTTATTATCCACTTACAAGTTTTCTTCCTCTAGTAGTCCCCCTGTACAGAAATCTACATCTAACTGACATTCACAAGGACATTCACATACTGTCTGTTCCATCTGTTTACAATTCAAACATAATCGGTCAGACTGAAATAAAATTGTTTGATTTCTAATGGTTATAAGGCTAAAGTATTCATATCTAATGTACATTCTCAGACATTAACTAATAACAAATCTTTGACTTTGATGGACCATAAGATTTTCCTCCAATGATGACTTTCATATCGTTTGACCTCAGGTCTTCTACCAATAATTACTAAGATATTCATCCTAAAACTTCCCTCCAATGACCAGTAAAACAGTCACTTTATCACATGGGTCAAACTATAAATATATGGGTTTTCTAGCAATCGACTAATAACTTTTCAAAATGTCATACAAGTTCGTATACATGAGTTCAATTTATATGATACACATTTTATATTCCTTACTTACCATACTACAAGGACAGAAGGCAGTTGCTGTGTCACATGTGTGATTCACTATTCCTAGGAAAGCATTTGTTCCTCGAATATGTACAATCTGAAATAGGAATTGAGAAACATTAAAAATGTAAAATAGTCAATGGTATTATTGATCTTATTGTCTATACTCAAGCAAAATACATGTTTTATAACAAATTTTTTTATAGATATATATATTTGGTAAACTCGGTATTTGGAATTTGATTTTTGCATTTGTAAAGGAGTAGGTCCAGTAAGACCCCTTTTTGGCCCCAAAATATAGCAGTTTTACAAAATTGTTAAAATGTAAACTTTAAGTTATTTATTGGTAAGAAGAATGCTTCTGCTACATAAATATGGGCTGTTTTTGACAATACAATGCACATATATATTGGGTACTAGCATCCTTTATTCAGGCTAAATTACTGAAATCTTTACAATTTTAGCATTTTAGTTAAATTTTGGACGGTTTCCGTCTAAAATGAAAGTGGCCGCATTTGTGTTCATTCTTAATATTGAAATGTAAGTTGTATTTGATGATAATACATAACATATATAAAGGTTGAGAATGAACACGGATGCGGCCACTTTCATTTTTTGACAAAAACCATCTGAAAAGTGACATTTTTGGCATATTTGATATATTTTTCATATTTAAGCTTGAATCAGAGCGTTTTTAATGACTAAATCAGTTAAAATCTTTCACATAAACTAATAGAATCAACTGAAATAGACACTTTAGTGTTCAAAAAGTGTCCAAAATCCTTCGTCATATGAACCTGAAATTTGAGGCCAAAATCAGCCCTTACCAGACCTACTCCTTTCTATTGTTCCCTAAACAGGATTCAAACTCAAAATGTTTATACACTAATAACAGCACCTGCATGTGTTCAACACTCTAGAATATTATGCCAACTTAGGCTCATTTGGAACTAATTGCAGTCACCCAAATATGTATAAAGATTTTTAACTGCTTAAAGAAATACTGTTTAAAACCCTTTCTTACATTTCATGTAATTTTACCCTCATATCTATAAGCTACATGTATTATAAATCAGAATGCTTTGATACAGATACATATATAAATATTACAGATATAATGGTAGATACTAACCTGGTATCTTGAGCATTTTTCTCCATGGACCAAGTTTGTAAGAACTCCGTCCAGACTTGTGTTGAACTAAAAAGTAAGAACCAATACTATATAATCTCTAATAAAATTTCTTACATAAATTAAATATTAGACTTCTTGCAGAATTTTGCAATTAAAATACATTAAATGTCTTTGCTGGATATTTTATGATGATACTGGATGGCTGATTTACATCCAGTGGAAAATTAATATGCATATTCAATACGAGAACATGTTAATGTAATATGAATATGAACCCTGAATATGAACCCTGCTTTTTAATGAGTTAGTTCACAAAGTAACAGTTTACAGGAAGACATGTCACCTTACCCGGACACGTTATTCTGACTCTGAGCCGACCAGTCTTTGCTCTTACTCCTTAATGCATCGTGCTTAGCAAGAAGACGCAAATGCCAATTTTAAAGTCTTTAGTTTGACCTGTCTGGGTTGGAAACCCACGACCTCCAGCATTCGTTGCGAACCCCTACTGAGAGACCACTGAGGTGGTCTGGCAGTTTTGTGTTGTTGGGTTACTGTCTAATTGACATATTCACCTCTCTGTGTATTCATTTTAAATCAAGAATATATGTCCATAGAACACCATGTCCATCTTGTTCAGTGAACCATGAAATCTGGGCAAATCCTTAATTTGGTATGCAATTTAAAAAGTTCACATCATTATAAAAATATATACTAAGTGCCAGGTTGATGTGGTAAACTACCTTGACCAACAATGTTAACCTGATAAAGTTGTGATAGACAAACAATCTAGCTGACTATCACATATAACCAGATAAGACTATAATCAATATATTTAACTTACATTATAATATCTCTGAATTGTTCGATCATTAAATCTATTGCATCTTTTCTTGTGCACAAAATATCTGTGGTTCAAGATGTCATTAGCCACCAATGGTTCCTGTAATGTCGGAAATAAAATAATATTTACATCTTTTAAAATAATTTGATACAAGCTGTTAAAACAAAAATAAATTCTATATTAGTTATAGCCTGACCAAATGTTTTTTTTCTTCTTCAAAAATGGTTTCAAATATAGATTCTATATCATACAACTTAAGTTTTCAGTCTTTTCTTTATCACTTGACAGGGAAACTTGTTTAAATCTTTATGTAAAACAAGAATGCATGCATAGCCATGCTAAGCATACCCCACTCGTAATTCAAAGTATCAGAAAACAGGAAGTAGGTATTTGACAGATCCAATAAGTTGACACACATTACAACTCATCACTGTAGAGCTGCTGACCAAAGTACGAAATCATTCTGCTAAGTAGTACTTGAGAAAAGTTTTAAGTTAATTCAACATACTGATAAATTCAATGTATCAGCAAACAGGATGTATGTATCTGACAGATCTGAAAAGTGCTCACATTTTACAACTCATCACTGTCAAGCTGCAGACCAAATATGAAATCATTCTGGTAGTTTCTGAGAAAAATGTTACAAAAATGAATGTTTTACAAACAGACAGACAAGGTTTACATTTCCTTTATATCCCCTACTCTTAGAATGGTGATATAATATATACATGTACATATTCATTTGAAACTGGTTCTTATAATTAGTTTTTCTATATGTAAATTTCAACATTTTAACTATTTGGTTTGCTTTTTTTAAACTTTAAATTACCTGATGAGTGATATGTTGTTTTTCAACAGGACCTTTGCCATTTGGTTCTATCAAAGCAGGATGTGCCACTAGATAACCTCTGTCGTCCATGATGAAACACCTACAAAAAAACAACAAAATATTTTATAATGGCAATCACTTACACCTAAATACTTTGATTTAAAAGAATATATTAAATAGCTTGCAAAGGATAGACTTCTATAATACTTTTCACAGTGTACTTCCAGTACACTTTAAAGAAACTTCCTTTGAACATTTCAAAACACAAAATTTTGTTTGGGGGATGGGCTTGGGAACACATTTTCACTTGCATTATATCTTTAGAATATGACCAACCATGCGAGGGAGTAATTGTGTGTTATACAACACTGACCTGACAGTCTTATGGCTACAGATATAGATTGAACTTCTAATAAAATACTGACCTGACAGTCTTATGGCTACATATATAGATATGATCTTGTAACATTTTGTAGAAATATCCTAGAGTCAGGTCCATACCCATCACAGCTACTACTTTATTGGCTGAACTGTGCATGGCATCATCTCTGAAATGAATATTTTATAAATTTAAAAACCTGAAGCTGGTGGTTAAAGCACTTACACATTACAAGCCAAGTTTACTATTTTAAAGAAACTTTGACCCAATGTTACCTAATAACAAAAGAAAGAAATTCCTTATTTCCGGATTTTTTACTTCTAAACATACAAAGTATTATTCTAGCAATTCTTATGCTTAATTTTTAGGGAATTCCATTTATATTTGAATTGTTTGACAAGTCATTGATTTTATTTTTATTTTAATTCAATTAATGTGTCTATAACAAAGTAGAACATATTACTATTACATATCTCATAAATTTTCAATTTAAAAACCCCATATCAGAATAACAAATATATATAAGATCTTACTTTCCCTCATAGATGGTATGACTGATGGTTGTAATGTAACCAGCTCCACCCATGTCTAAATATGGTGCTGTCAGTGTTACTTTTCCTGGAAACTCAAAGGCTCTTGTATACCTAAAGTTTAATGGAAGATGATATATAATTTTATATGTATAACTTGTTTTTTTCTATGTTGTGTTTTGAATGAGTTTGAATGTCCCTTTGGTATCTTTCGTCTCTCACTTTTATGAATTAAGGCAACATTTGCTTCTGTAAGGTTTCAGAACATATGTTTGAAAGAAAGTAATTTTTTAGTGGTTTTGTCATTCCCTACCATGAACAAAAGTTTCACATTTTTAAATATAAGAATTTGTGGAATGACTTTCATTTATTACATATAATGTATTATGAATCTTAATGAATGAATTAAAAATAATGTTAAACTACTAGTATTAGTACTGAAGTAAATTAACTAGACATTCTTTTGATAAAATACAGTATTAAAAACCATTTGTAATCATAAATATAATAGACATTCAGCTACAAAAAATACAAATCTTAATCAATACTTACCATGTTCTTTTTGAAGGATCAAATGTTTTGTCTAGTAATGTTCCAGGGTACATTCTAAATACACCATTTGTTGTTGCTATATACCTACAAACACAAATTGAGCAGAGGTTAGTTTTAGCTAAATATTTGAATAAATCTACAGCCAATATGAATTATTCACAATAAAAAATTGATTACTGCAAAAGATCATCTTCCAAAGGCTTAAAAGACAGATTTTTTGAACGACCTGTGTAGATCTGATTTAGTCAAAAGATAGAGCACATTAAAGTACCACAATATTTGTCTATGTGAACAACACCACTCATAATGTTATTATTGTTGTGGTACTTGCATATGTGTCAAAAGAAGCAATTTTTTTCATTTTTCGTAGACTGCAAAATCTCCCCAACATTTTGAAATTCCTTACGGTTTGAAATTTGCACACATATATCAGTTGTCTTTAGGCCAAAAAATAACCCCTTATATTGTAATACTTAATTTTTGGGCCAAATAGGCCCCTAAACACAACTTCTCCTTTACTACCAACCTTATAAGGGTTAATCCAGGAAAACTGGGAGGGTTTGGACACCAAATGATAATTCTTTCTGTGGGTAGTTTTTTTATAGATGGATGTTACAAATGAAAAAAAATTTGTAGATTGGAAATATAAAAATAGTGTTGTCCAACACCTCCATACATTTTTTCCTGAAATAGCCCTTTACTATAAATTAGTGACATAGCTTCAACAAGGTATAATGTCAATTTACTGTACTACTCCAAAAAAGAAACACTGACCTCCTTACTATACTATCTCTGTGAGCACTTGTGTTGTATCTTAACTTCCAATCATTGGTAATTCTACCAGTGGCTAAGGCATCATCTCTTACACCATCCTGTCAACAGATAAGTTAATATGTAAACAACAACTACATTCAAACAAACAAAGGCATTTTTAATGAAAGAGCTGATTCGAAATTTGCATGAAAGATTGTGATATCGAGAGGTATTGAATGAATATGAAATTTTAAAAGAACAGTTATATCTAAAAAATAAATGCTCTTTGAAAATTAAAATTTCTGGATCATAACAAGAAACCATATTTTTTTCATGCATTTTCAAAAAAAATTTTGTTTAAGTTAGATAAGTTTTTGAACTTAAAAAAAAATGCAGCCATTCAAGTTCAAAAACTTATTTAACTTAAGCAAAAGTTTATATTTCAAATGGTAGAATTCTGTCCCTAAAAACTAATTTTTAATGATCTCTTTCTTGCATTAAAATGTATCGGATATTTTCAAAATAAATTTCAAAACAAACATTACTAGCAATTACAATACACTTTTATTCACCATTTGACAAACAAATCTTATGACTAATACAGATCGTAAATCTTACCTGACTTGTTGACAACTTATGATTTTACTCATAACATTTGAGAAAATGACCAGTTTGTTATCATACCTTGATTCCTGGATTGGTCAGTTCTACATAAGGTTCTTTAAGGTAAGCAGTGTAACTCCTAACCATTTTCTTGTCTTCACGTAAACTCATGTGATCGTATGGTTCATTAAAACATTTTGGCGACAAAAATATTGTGCTTGTATCTGCAAAGGTAAGGTTAAGAAAACATCATTTGAAAGACATCCATAACACTGTTTAACATTTCCTGATTAATAGTTAGATGTTTAATGCTCAAAATACAATTGTTCATTTCCTTTGAAAAACATTTAAAGTGGCAAAACATTATACTTTGATGCTTCTTATTATCCCAGCGATTCTTATCACTGTTCTGACAGATTACTCAAGAGAAAAAAGATATTCAAAAGAAACCAATGCTTTCATCATTTGACTTATATACTGTAAATACAAATAACCCTTTCTGTCAGATATTCTCCAAGTCAGACTATACTTTTTTCATTCATGATGATAAAATCTTTAACTAGGAGAAAGATTACCATAAGTCCTAGCCCAAAAATCACTGGAACTTAACTTAAGCAAAGTTTTACTAGATCTTGACTAAATACCTTCTGTGGCCAACTGTTTAAGATGTAAACACATGGTACTGGCTGGTAGAAGATCTAGTCGATGATACAACATATTAACATCACTAGCACTGAAACCTATAAAAAAGACATGTTGTGTACTTCTATTGAAAAATCTCCTATGCACATAAAAAATGTGCTTATGATATCTTCTGATATATATAAGTCATGGGGTTCTTCTCTTTTACGTAAATTTTCATCCATCAATCAAACAGATAAAGTTTTCTTTTAATTTATCAAACACCATTATTAACAGAAATTTTCAGAATTAAAGGAACATGAATATATATTTTTAACATGCAATAAATATAAAATAAAAGAGGAATCATGTGTACTCTTTTCTGAAGAGAAGCAACCAAGACCAATCAGCTTAGGGTGTTTATTTGTAAAGATACGTCTTAGTAAGAACTAGTATGTAAAGGAGTATTAGTCCTACTAGTAAAACTAAGCATAAAAACAGCTTTTCAAGTTTAACAGATTTGTCTTAAACTAAAAAATTATATCAGCAAAACTGTTTATGTTTCAACTTACTGGTAATTTTCTCTAAGACTTTTGCATCTTCTATTTGAGAAAAAGTTTTAATGGCTACAATAAATGGTGTATTTTCTACTCTTTTCCATATGTATGTGGCATAATAATTAGCATCGTTTTCAGATCTATTGGTCTTCACATCATTTCTCAAGATTAATGTCCGTTCACCAGATTCCATACTGAAATATAATTCATTTAAGTAATTAAACATTTGTAATTCCAATGTTGTATGTTAGGTTTTATTTCATTGTTGGGATTCATGGCAACCAAAGAGTTTATACATGTGCAAACCCATAATGCACAGGCATAAATTACCTCATAGGCAAAATAGTACTGTAAAGTGTTAAGTTTAATGATGTGAACACTCAGTCTTTAACCCACAAACCTTACATGGTCCTTTGAACTGACTAACTGAATGACGGGTCAAAAACATTATACACCTCGTAAATTCATTACATGGGGTACAAATAACAATCTAAATTGATCACAATAAACTGTTACATCTAGAGGCCAAATTTCTATCCTTATAAATGATTGCAAAATCACAAAATAAATTTTCTAAGAACAATATCAGTTTGATAATAACCTTCCAGGTGTTTCAAAATTATATACATGAATTTAAACTTTAACTGAAAACATTCACTATATAAATGTTGTAAACTACTTCTAGGTTTCACTTTGATGAAGTAAAACTATCTACTAACTTGATCATGTCACTCCTTATCCTGGCAAATCCTTCATTGTTCTCAAAATGCCAAATGTCTGTATGCATTGGTTGTACATCTGTTTTAACTGGACGTGTAAAAGACGGGTGCATAATGGTATAACCTGTAATATGTAAGATAAAGAAGTAACAACATGCATACCAACTAATAACTTTGTTGTTGTAATGCTGATTGGCTGTAGTTTGATTGATATATATCTTGCATCTCTTTTAATTAAATTGTTATAATATACCTAAAAATATTTTTATACAACAATTTTTGTGCTAATCATGTAACAAAGGCAGTATTATAAAGCAATTGGCCTGAATATCTAAAAATATAAGGTACTTAGATCTTTAAATATCTCTGGTATGTTATGTATTGGATTGTATTCCTGCTTTTTGAAATGCACCTTCTTTTGGGAAAGTATTGTATCCAGTTGTCATAAAAAGAAAAAGATTGAAAAAGTTAAACAGTCAGTTTCAGACTCTCAGAACAATCAAGACAAGCAATCAGTCCCATTATTTTCTGATTGTGTTAGTTACTCTACAGGTGTTGACAAATACCTTCAGATGTGATGACAAATGCATATGAACCATCCATTTCATCATAGTATGTAATATCTTGTACAATATCCTCCATATGTAGATCTACTCCCATAATTCCAATCACCTTGTTGTTATGGAAACATGTCTGACTTATGGTAATGGTCAGTGCTGTTAAAAAAATTAAAACAATCTTTTTTATAAGAGCATTTTAAAATCAATGAGAAGTTGGATTGTATTTAGGTAATATATGTTGTAAAAGAAAACTGTGGAATGTTTGTGTTTCTGCAAAATATGGGTAATCTTCAAGATTTTCCTTTAGAAATTCAGAACAGTGCTTCCTGAATAAAAAAAAAATCTTTTTAATTTGGTGATGATGGTAGAACTTTGATAGTCTGTTAATTTTAATTGAGTTGCTGTCAAATTGATCTGTATCTCACATCTCCTTTAAATCAAATCAAAGTATTGCAGTTAATTCTGTGAAAATGTTGTATTACTGCTAAAGATAATATTAGACATATCAGTAAAAATGAATCATTTTAATATGATACTAGCATCTCATCCAATAGCAAGCATGTATGTCATTTCAAAATTTTCTTGTTAATTGTTGAGATATGAGTATGAAAAATGTCAACATTTTGGATGGAAATATCTTATTTTCCTTAGAATAAAAATGAACAACAAAAAAAACCCCAAAATCTCCCCTCCACAACTTCATCAAGGCAAGACAAAATCAAACAAAAGCTCATGATATTTATGTAAAGAAAATGAATAGCTCTGAATGTCTGATCAACTTGATCTACAGGGGTTATTTATCCTATAAGAAGTTCATCTTCAAATAATAATAAATGTTTCTATAATAGAAGAGTAAAAAGTTTTGACTGACCTTTATCAGCTTTGTCTATGTAAGGCAGTGAGAAGACAGGTACTTCTGAAGCTGATTGGTTGAATGGTAAATAAAACTTTCCTACAGACATACTCAGATCTTTGGTTGTATTTATAGCCATCATTGTACCAGGCTGCAATAAGATCAATAATAACACTTGCAATAACAAGAAATAAGTTATTGATAAATCTATGTCGTTTTAAACCTGACAGCAACAAATTCTTAAAACATCCGGTACATAGAAAGTTGAGGAACATTGGATTTAAAAATGCATCACAGAGTAACAATCTCACATGAATGTTGATATCAAATTTCCTCGAGAAAAATGTGATGAAAAAGTTGATAAAAGAGAAATGAGAAAAATAAATCACACTATAGAGCATATAGATATGAAGCCTAACAACAAAATTCAAGAAACTCTGTTTTGTTGTTACAGAGAAAAATGTGACAATATTTTTTATACATGGCCATTATGTGTAGGATTATACAAGTATTTGATTATCAGGAAGATGATGAGCAATGAATTTGAAAACAGTATATATACCCTATCCTCCAATAAAAACTACCTTGACTATATTATAGACCATAATATAAATGAGCAATATACTTACAACAATGGGTTCAGAACTTCTTTGTTGTACATTATACTGAGCAAAGTTTTGCTTGGCAACATTCTGTAGAAAACTCTTCTCCCATGTAACAGGTTTACCATCTGTAATGGACAAAGGGACATTTTGTTATTTGTCTTCTTGCGATATTTTTATTTCTTAGCCAACAATCTATTTGCATCTTTACAATCAACTTAAAAAAACTTTCAGACATCCTTGTCTAACATTAAAAAAAATGTTTTTCTCATGTTTAAATTGCCCTTTGAAAAAATTTAACACACAAAAAATTTAGCTGGGTAATTCTTTGGTTTTATTTCATTGTTGGGTTGTTGTCTCATTGATGTTTTACCCACATAACCATATATTCATTTGGAATATAAACCTTCTTTCGTCTCTAGTAAAACAATGTGATTTCTATTACAGTTACCACATTTTTCGTTATTGGTGATTATATCATTAATATGTTAATGTATATGGAAATGAGTTTTTAAGTAAGCAGTAAACTGTACATCATGAAAATGCCATTAGTATTGACTGTTGACACCTGAATGCCACCTAAGTACAATGATAATATTGTAAGATGACAAATCTCTTCAGTAAAGCAATATTGATGATTACCATCAATAACAGCATATGTGTTGATAATGACTCTGTTTTTAAGTCTCCCATTCAGCTCTGCAATTGTTTCTAACACGATACTGGGCTCATTAATAGACGACAGCAATCCACGACTAATGTATACTACCATAGCATAATCTGAAAAGTAAAACAAAAATTAATAAACTGGTCAAAAAACACCTTTAATGAAACAAAAAATTCCTGCCTGTTTATGATATACCAATCAATCTGAAATCATCTGAATACATTAAAACATTCCAAAAAGCTGTGTGCCTAACAAGAGTTTAAAAAATTAAGTCCAAAAAAGATTAATTCAAACTAATATCCCATGATCGTTTTTCATTTTTTCAATGGTTAAAGTACAAAAAAATACTGGAAATTTCTTAACATAGGATATCGTACAACGTAAGCTAGGACAAAAAAATAAAAAACATAAAATACAGGACTTTTGTGCATGAAGTGTACACATGCAAACTATAAAGGACCCACAAAAATAGCACATGTGTTTTTAACCTACTGTTCATATGTAAATTTGCATCAGACCTTGTCTTGACTTTTGTGCACCTACTATACATATATACATTTGTTAGGGACCTACCGGTACCCATATTGACAACTGGACTTTTGTGCATAGTTTTCTGTACAATGTCTAAGGCTGTCTTAAATCCTAGAGTGTGGTTAGTAGCAGCTGTAAAGAAAATAGAAAAATATACATACACACTCTAATTCTACAGTACACTTTATTACTGTGTAAGAAAAAATATTAAATGTAATGAAAAGTTAAATAGGAATAAAAAAAGAGCATATTAATATGACATACACTGATTCTCATACTATACATACACTGATTCTGAAACATAACTCAGACTGATTCTGGAATATATAACTCATAGTTTACATTCCCAAAGAAAGACAAAAGCTTATATAATGCTATAATCTGGACTTCAAATTCTTTCAATATAAGTTTTTCATGGAATTTGATTCACATATATGCAAGGCTTTTGCTTTGATAAACTTTACACTTAAAAGAACACTGCAAATCATACCATTTTCTTTCTCCAGCTTATCAATGAAGTTACTGAAATGTAGATTAGCTTCATATGTGACTGGAACCATCTTGTTATGGAGACAGGAGTCTGTATCAGGTTCTCTTGGAAACGATACCTTTGATGCAAGTCCAATAACAGCAACCTACAATATATATACCAAATTGTGGTTACATATTATATCTATACAAGGTTTATTCTTATAATTTTTTCTTCTAAAGTATAGGATTGAAAGTAAATTTTAGAACATAATTCTTACTTAAGTTACAAATACAAATTTATTATAATAGTTTCCTATTTACCATATAATTTTAGTCCTGGTCTCTTTCTGTAGTCTTAATTTGTTATTTTCTTCAATCTTACTAAATGTGTGAATAAATCCTCTATATATTTACTGCTATTTTAATTGAACCTTAAAAACAGCTTAACTTCATAACCACATGTTGGCTTTGAAAAAACTTTCCACAAACAAATATTTTTTTTACATGGGTTTATCCTGTTTAACTTTTTTTATTTGTCTAAATCTATTCTGTTCAACACACCAACTGATTTTTCGTTGAAGAAATGCAAATAAATATTTTGGAACAATTGGTATAAATAAAATCTTCAGCATTTTCAATTATGGATACTTATTAAAAATTCCAATATACCAAAATAAACATAAACATGCTTGATAATGGATACTTAAAACATTTCCAATATGGATACTTAAAAACATTTCAAATATAAGGGAAATACACGTAACTACAAAGCATGGTAGGTAATAAATGCAATAATTACTTTAAAACTTTTCTTATATAAGGGATAATAACTCTGATTTACAATTTAAGGGAAATAACTCTTGATTTCAAAAATAAGGGAAATAACTCCCTAAGCATACCCTGTCTTTTTCAGACAATGATGACAATATATGTTTGGCTATTCCTTTAGCTATTCGTAGTTGGTTTGGACTCAGTGAATTCCCATGGTCCATAACTATCACTAGATGCTTTGACTGTGGTTGTACTGTAGAAACATACACATTTCTGAAATTATAAATATGTTATTTAGTAATAAAACATATTTTTATCTGTAATATGAAGCTATAATATCCTGTACTTGAAATGAAAGACTAATTCTGGTTAAATACTACAAGTACATCAATTGAAAACAATTAATTTCTTTGATCTTGTTGCACATCTCATGCATAGTCATGTACTATTGCTCATTTAATGACACAAATACATTGTACCCTTGTGAACCTAATTTTCAGCTATTTCATGTGGAACCATAAGAACAACAAAATATATATATGTATTTTTGGGCCAATGGTTCTTGCTATGGGTTTAATATAACCAATTTACAAAAAACTGGGACTTTAAATACATTTTATCTCACAAAAAGTACAAATGTACTGAGTGATCATAGCTGTTCAGTTCTCTGAAATTCAATAACAAAAAATAGAAGCCATTCGATGGATTAGGGTATTAAATTTATTACTTTTTTTTAAGAATAAGAAGTGTAGCATCATCCAAAGTACAAACCATTCCAACTCCAACAGTCATGACTTGTAGAGAGAAGCTAAAGGCACTGATAAAGTTTGTTAATCAACTCATTTCAAAGAAATACTTTGTCTGAAGCAGTTCCTGTGGTATATAGCAAAGTCAAGAAAACCGTTTGAAGCCTACATACAAATTTGAGATTAACGCAAAGTTTCTTTAATGTGTCATAAGATATAAAGAAAATATGCCTTTTATCATGTATATAAAAACATTTATATACAGAAAATCATTTGATGTCAATATAAAGAGGATCTAACTACCAACTTGAGGAGAGTCATGATTTTATATGATATAGACAGAATTATATAACATCAGCTGCTGCAACCTGTTTGTGTACTCCTTACTACAGAAAAGCCTTAATAGTACATCTTTCTTGTCAAAGCTTAAATATCCTGCATATACCAACAGCTTTGCAATTGGCAATAAAGATAAACCCTGTATGTGTATGAAAATCAAAAGAGTAAAAAACATGTGGTAATGTTCTATAGATAACTGTAAATTAGAAGAAAAGGAGAAACTATTACATCTCTCAGCAGGAGTCCTTTACGTTATTATATTGTACACCTCCTGACCAGGTTAACCACCAGAAACAGACAATCAATTACTTTCTTCAACAACTTTAATTATGAAAGCAGAGATATGATGCACTTGACAATACTGTAAAATCATTTAACATATCTCTCTAGGTACTAAATTTCTAGCAAAGTTTAATATGCTTTTGATTGTATGTAATGTACGGTATTAAGTGTGGCAATACCTGTGCATATGTCAACATATAGTTGTTCCGCCAAACAGAAGACACCCCCCCCCCCCCCTCCCCCCCCCTGGAAACTTTATTATAAACAATGACATAATATCTCTTCCTGTTGGAACAAATGTTCTATCACATAATATTTCGCCCATTTGGAACTTTTATTATGAAGGAACTAATATTTCATGACACATAAAATCACACAGGATCACTGTACACCTCATGTTGTAAAATATTGCAAGACATAGAAAAGACATTGGTTTCATGCTGTGTGAAATTATTCAGGGTAAGAGATAAACATATTTTCAAATGATGTCAGGTTAAGTTAACAAAAGTTTTTTGTAATGTTTGGTATTCTGAAAACTACAATTAAAGACCTTTGAACTGAAACTACACAAATGAACCTGCTAAATTTACCACTACCGGTAATTTCTGCTGATTAATTTCATTTACAAAATGTTTATTTTTTATACAAGCTAGCTTGCTATATTAAGTCGATAAAATATTGGCATTGTTTGTAGGTTTTTTGCAGCTTAAGATTACATAGTATTAGAATCTACAGATGAATGACAAAAATCGAGACCCAATTAACATTACAAAGGCTATATACATGTACGCAAGATAAAAGGAAAGATGCAAAATGAAAAAGCTATGTAACATGTGATACATATGATCAAAACTACATAAAAGGCCTCCAGTGTCAATCAATATAATTACAGAGCACAGCTAAATGTTTGAAGTAATAAGGACAATAGCAGTGTTTATGACTAAATAGCCTATGTGGTACTCCCCATTAAGCATGTCAACATGCACAGCCAGAATTATCAAAGATTAACAACTGCCTTCAGAATTATAATAAAAACAGTTTTATTGCATTAAACACATGTTCCAAATAACAGAAAATTCTTTTGAAGTTTTACAAACAAAAAGATAAAAAGTAGCATGAAATTCAAACAAAGGTTTTAATATCAGTATAGGTCTTTACTATTCATGTCAGGATTTTGGCTAGACTGGTAAAAATCAATTTCAAACTGTTTTGGTTAAGATGGCTTTTGTAATAAAATCCAGCAATTATTTCACCATTATGAGTCACAAAGTGAAATCAAACCATCATTAAGTATATAGAAACCCTGTGTAAAATATGTTATTTTGAGGGGAAAACTGTATAAATCAATAGCAATATGCCAGATATTTTTCTGTATGTTTGAATATAACAACAAGGAAAAGATTCATAAATTCCCTCATGTGTAAATGTACATTAAATAAATTCATTTGATTTTTATAGACATTAAGAACTGAAAATCTAGGTCACTGGAATCTTGGGTTTATGTTCAATATCGCAAATTTTCACTAGAATATTTATAAAACAACTTAGACTTGGAAACATTTCAAACTATCATTTCTAAGTTCAAAGAAAATTAAAACTGGAAAAAGATAAGTGATGGTATACAAAGCACGCTTCTCTCTGTATTTCTGATAAAAGTTTTAAAGAGTTGATCTTTATGTAAATATATGCAGTGGACTTGCAAGGTAAAATAAATTAAGGTGTCTCTCTTCCTATTAACATACAGATACAAACTTTGAGATCAAATGCAATATGCATTAAACAATATCCTAAATAAAATGATACAAGTACATTTCATTTCCACATAAGTTTGGGATGACATCCGAAATGATAAGATAATTACCAAACAAAAGACTTAACATTTTCCTGATGAGCAGATATATACCAATGTCATTTTTACCTATACTACAATACAGGTATTCCATATTACCTATGTGAACCAGATTATCTTAAGCATAGTTATAAAGCTATGATTATACAGTTTAAATTATCATTATCCCTCTCATATATTGTTGTCTTAGGTTACTCTTTCATAACATGAAAGTCTATTCAAAAGACGAACTATGGTATTTAAAACAGTGCGACCTATAGGATAAAGTATTTCTTCACTATATTAATACCCTCTTAATCCATTGCACAATTAAAATCAAAGACACCTTTAAGTGGAGCATCCCATTCCAATCCCCCTTAATTTAAATTGTCAGTTTCTCCATAATGCTGTCTGTCAAGTGAATGTGATATTTGTCCAATAGTCCTCAACTTTAAAAAGGTTCAAGCTTTCGTCATGGCAAGGAAAGACTGTAATTCTATGGTTCCTACAAGCATTCATTTAATGACCCTGACCTTGGAAATATGACCTTGAAATTAACAAGAAATCAAAGTCTCTTTCATGGTGAAATATTGGACAGTGATTTCTTCTCATGGTAATGTTGTAAACTTAATTAGTAGGGTTGAAGTTGTCCTGATTTCTAAAGACAGATGGTAATGTTTGATGGTAATTGGATGTAAAGCTTGACTCAAGCTATTACCTTGGCAGTTGTGTGTTTACCTAGACTTTTGACCTTTAACCTTGAAATAAAGTAATTTCAAAGCTATCCTAATAGCAATGAAGTTTGATGAAGATTGGAATCATGACTTGACCTCAATGATACTAAAAAATAATAAAATGCTCCGCAGGGCGCAGCTTGATACGACCGCAGAGGTCGAACCCTGAACAGTTGCGGCAAGTATGGACACAACATTCAAGCTTGATACAGCTTTGCATTTGGATTGTGATTAAATATTTGACACAGAATAGGTTTCTGACACAGAATGAATGTGGTCTAAGAACTTAAAAATTTTAAATTGGACATTCACCTATTATGGTCCAATATCCAAAATCTAAATACATGGTTAGATTCAGCATATCAAAGAACCCCAAGAATTCAATTTTTGATGAAATCAAACAAAGTTTAATTTTGGACCCTTTTGACCTCAATGTGGACAAAGTTGATAACGGGGCCCAAAAATCAAAAATCTAAATACATGGTTGGATTCAACATATCAAAGAACCCCATATATTCAATTTTTGTTGAAATCAAACAAAGATTAATTTTGGACCCCGATTTGGACCAACTTGAAAACTGGGCCCATAATCAAAAATCTAAATACATGTTTAGATTCAGCATATCAAAGAACCCTAAGAATTCAATTTTTGTTAAAATCAAACTAAGTTTAATTTTGGACCCTTTGGACCTTAATGTAGACCAATTTGAAAACGGAACCAATAAACTGCTTCGCTGAGCGCAGCTGGATACGCCCGCAGAGGTCCAACCCTGAGCAGCTGGGGCAAAAATGGACACAATATTCAAGCTTGATACAGGTCTGAATTTGGATTGTAATTAAATATTTGACATATTATAGGTTTCTGAATAAATGTAGTCAAAGAACTTGAAATTGGTTATATTTAATCCCGCTGCAAATGTTTGCACCTGTCCTAAGTCAGGAATCTGATTACAGTAGTTGTCGTCTGTATATGTAGTTCATAGGTGTTTCTCGTTTCTCATTTTTATATAGATTAGACCGTTGGTTTTTCCGTTTGAATGGTTTTACACTAGTAAATTTTTGGGGCCCTTTATAGGTTGCTGTTCGGTGTGAGCCAATGCTCCATGTTGAAGGCTGTACCTTGACCTATAATGGTTTACTTTTATAAATTGTAACTTGGATGGCGAGTTGTCTCATTGGCACTCATACCACATCTTCCTATATCTATATAAATTGAATTTATATTCAATTAAAGATTTCTTGCTGTTGTGCAATACACTGTGCTGTTGCGCAATACTTAGTAAATCTGTTGTCAGACTATAAACCAATAAAGTTCAATTAATTCTCAATGTCATATTAGAAATTTAAGAAAATGTAAAGGGAGCTTACATCAATAGATATAAACAATTCACCAAAGTTTCATGAGAATTGCTGACAGCATTTTTGAGTTATTGTCCGAAAACTGGAAAATCCCCCCTTTTTTAATGAATAAAACCCCATAACTCAGAAATGTAAAATGTAAAATTTATAAAATTCTAAACGGAGCTTACATCAATAGATATAAACAATTCACCAAAGTTTCATAAGAACTGCTGAAAGCATTTTTGATTTTTTGTCTGAAAACTGGAAAATCCCCCTTTTTTTATGAATAAAACCCTGTAACTCTGAAACGTAAAATCTAAAATATATAAAAATCGAAAGGGAGCTCATGTCAATAGATATCAACAATTCACCCCAATTTCTTGCAAGTTGGTGAAAGCATTCTTGAGTTATTGTCCGAAAACTGGAAATTCCCCCTTTTTTTAATGAATAAAACCCTGTAACTCAGAAAAGTAAAATCTAAAATTTATAAAAAACGAAAGGGAGCTCACGTCAATAGATATAAACAATTCACCAAAGTTTTATGCAAATTGGTTAAAGCATTTTTGAGTTAATGTCCGACATGTTGACGACGGACGGACAGACGGACAGACGGACGGACGGACAGACGGACAGAGGTATACCATAATACGTCCCGTAAACGGGCGTATAAAAATTAAGAATTTAAATACATGGTTAGATTCGGCATATCAAAGAACCCCAATAATTCAATTTTTGATGAAATCAAACAAAGTTTAATTTTGGACCCTTTTGACCTCAATGTGGACCAATTTAAAAACGGGGCCCAAAATCCAAAAACTAAATACACGGTTAGATTCAGCATATTAAAGAACCCCAAGAATTCAAGAATAAAACCCCATTGAAATTGGTCAAGAAATAAGCAATTTATACGAAGTATCTTTTTTGCAAAATACTGTGCAATTAAATATTTCTTGCTATTGCGCAATACTGTACAATTGACAATTTCTTGCTATTGCGCAATATTGTGCTATTGGATATTTCTTCCTATTGCGCAATACTGTGCAATTGAAGATTTCTTGCTATTGCGCAATACTGTGCAATTGAAGATTTCTTGCTATTGTGCAATACTGTGCAATTGAAAATTTCTTGCTATTGCACAATACTTATTATATAATAATTTACACATCCTGTTTGGTGTGTATCTCCTACCATATCATTATTATTTGCTTTTAAATATAAATTCAGAAATAACCCACTTAAAATGGAAAATTTTAAAAGAAAAAAAAAAGGAAAAAAAGAAAAAAAAGGAAAAAAAAAAAAATCCCCCCCCCAAATTTTTTGAACCCCCTTATGATTAATCACCCCCAAACTCAATCCCAGCCTTCCCTTTGTGGTATGGTACCTTGCAGTACAATTTCAGAGAGATCCATACACTTGAACACAAGTTATTGTCTGGAAACTAGAAAAATGTGTTTTTTTGGCCCCAAATTCCTAAACGTTTAGGGCAATTACCCCCAAACTCAAACCCAGCTTTCCCTTTGTGATATGGAACCTTGTAGTACAATTTCAGAAAGATCCATACACTTACACACAAGTAATTGTCCTGAAACTAGAAAAATGCTTGTTTTTTGCCCCTTTTTGGCCCCTAATTCCTAAAATTTTGAGGCAATTACCCCCAAAATCAATCCCAGCATTCCTTTTGTGATATGGAACCTTATGGTACAATGTCAGAGAGATCCATACACTAACACACAAGTTATGTCTGGAAGTTACAAAAATGCTTATTTTTGGCCCCTTTTTGGCCTCTAATTCCTTTACTGTTGGTACCATAACCCCCAAAATCAATCCCAACCTTCCTTTTGTGGTATTGAACCTTGTGGTAAAATTTCATAGAGATCCATTCACTTAAACTAAAGTTAGAGTGCGAAAACCAATGTGTCTTCAGACGACGCCAGACGACGACGACGCCAACGTCATACCAATATACGACCACAAAAATTTTTTTGCGGTCGTATAAAAATTGCAGAAAGATACACACACACACAATTCAACTGTATGCATTCCATGTATTCAAACGGGATACAACAAGAAAAGCCGGTGTGTAAATAACAAACATTACCTTTAAATAAACTCCAAAAATGTGCTGACTTCTTTCGATAGAATGCAGTATGACCCATAAGGTGAGCAAAAATAAAAAATATAATCAACTTGACTTAACTTGTTCTAAACAATTTCTGTTCATAAAACAAATTTGATATGTATACTAACCTGTGTCTAATGTTATTAGCATCATGACAGTTGTCAAACCATTGGAAAGCATTTCCAGGGTATTCACTGTGAACACCATCTACAGATATAAAATACTGCCACTTCAGACTGGGAACCAGTTGTACATTGCCTCTCCATACTGAAATGAAAAAAGTATTTGATGACTGATTGACATCATTGTGCTGTTAATCTCTCCAGTAGAAAATAAATGGCCATGTGTAGCAAAGCAGTCCTATGTTTATACTTAGTAGACGTTAAATCTAAGAACCATTTGTCTTTTTACCAGATTTTCACTTACATAATTACTCCATGATAAAATTAAATTGAAATCAACGGTGGCATGAAGAACTTTCATTTGTAAATGTAGAATCATATGTAATGATTGTTATCACAGGCAATTGAATGTGTCCATAATTATCATGTCTTAAATTTAATGGGCTCATTTTTAGTAAGACTTCAATACAAATGAAAAATTCTCAAGGTGTTTTATTAATGTTATCAGAGGCAAATTTTGAGGGAACATGAAGTAGCCTCCTCCTACCATCCCTCATCCAAACCCCTATGTATTTGCCCCAAAGGCCACAGTTTATGATTTACGGAGTCAATAAATAAATCCTACATACTTAAGTCTTGTCTAGAGTCATAGCAACTTTGATATTGACAAGATGTGTAAACACTTGTCAGTTGTTAAACACTGTTAACAGACCAATAGATATGTTTTTCATTTTGTTGATGGGTTGCTGTATCAAATAAATACATACATAAATGTAAGGTTTTCAAATGAAGTATTTCACTAACAAAAGAAAGCCTTTTTTGTTACATGTATGAAAACTTGTGGAGGATATTCAATAACATAATAAGGTCTTTACATAACAATATTTTATCTACAATCTAGGGTTTAGGCAGATCAATTACTTTTTAATTTTCAGTTTAACAATGTCCTATCAACACAAGATATTATAATAACATGGTTGGAATAGAACACATGAATGAGTGAAGACTACACTAACAATGGGAAAGCTATCTTCTTGTTTCTTATCAGACTTTACACTTAAATAGTCATAGTTATTTCTATACTATTTCTATCATACTTTCAACAGGCGTTAAGGGTCAGAGGTCAAATATCACATTGAAAAGTCCTTACAAACTAAATGATACTACTATTAAAGAGATGAATAGAAACAGGGGTAATAAAGAAACGTTGAATGTGCACCACACTGCTAGACCACATTTAATGTTTGTATAGATGAACCATCTATAAAAGTTGGGGGTACAACGAAGGGTTGGTTCTTCAAGTTACATTTAACAAGAGGTGTTTCCTTACAACTTTACATGTGAATGAGTTATTATAGCAAATAAATATACACTCACATATTTAAAAACATATATAAACTCTTTGTAAATCTGTCGTTTTACAAATTTCAAGCAAAAGAAATCAGTTTAACTGCACATTCTTACATATCCTCTTACAAAATACTTTTAACTCCTGCCAAGGGTTTTGCTTTAAGAAGTAATTTTCACAAGAACAATGTCAGAGCTAAAAAAATAATATAGGAAATGAACTAACATCTAAGGAATAAAAAGTTGATAAAAAGCTAAATAAATTCCTATAGATTTTTTTGTTAATCAAGAGCTACTGTGAATGTATAATTGATCAACACAGTATAGAATGAAGACAGCCTTTGAAGTTTTCCTCTGCAGACTTTGTGATAAAACAGTATATAATTTTGTGATTTATGTAGTAATAGTTAAAACATCATCAAAACCATTTATATTAATGTGAACTATGTAGAATTAATTTCTGCAAAAGAAAATTGAATTTGTAGTAATGAAAAACATTTGTCCAACAACAAAATGATTAAATCTGTACTACAAATACAATAGATCTGACAAAACAATCAAATTTAACAAACACAGAGACAACAATCCAATATGAAGCTTTACATGTTTTAAAGATATCTTTTATCAAAAACAATAAAATAATAACAAATGTATTAGCACCTAAAAGCATTGGAGATTCAAAGATTTTTTATTCTTGTACCATTTGAAGAGGTTTAGCTTCCAATTTCAATCTGGATTTTCCTAAATGCAAATGTATTCAATTCAAATAAATCAAATATTGAACAAAAATATATTTCTTTTGCAAAAAAATGCCAGATGTTGTATGAATACAAACTAGATTCTTGTTTGAATTGTTTTACATTTGTCAATTCAGGGCTTGCTATGCGGTATGGGTTTTGCTCATTGTTGAAGTCTGTACGGTGACATATAGTTGCTAACTTCTACGTCATTTGGTCTCTTGTAGATAGTTGTCTCATTGGCAATCATACCATAACTTCTTATTTATAAAATATTTATGTTGTTAAAAATGACATTTTTGTACATTGTAAATTTGGTCTTTTTGTGGTTTTGAAATTTGGATGCTTATTACAAAAGCTGTGTGATTTTCTGCATCGAACTAACTCTTAAAATCAATCATAACAAATTTGACCATTCAAAAATCACGTGCTTTAATTCTCCATAGAAGGTAAGAGTCCTCACACTAAAAACAAACAAATTATCATTCTGCATAAAAATAAGTCTCCTTCACAAGAAAAATAAATAAAAAAAAAATATGTGTAAGACACCAAACATACAAGATTTAACGATCAGAAATAAGATCCCTCCAACCCACCTTAAAAAACCAAGATCATGTGTCAAACCTTGAATAACTAGCAATCTTTATTAAAATCAAGAAACTTTTTTTAACCCCAAAAAGTGTAAATCAGAGACAACTTCTTAGTAAGTGAAACTCTCAAGACTACGATGGATCCATATTTATGTCATATATGATGACTTTATAACACAGTATCTTTGAACTGAACTAGACACAAATATACAAGCTTAAGGGTACATCAAAAGTCAACCTCACTTGTGGCAAGATGAACAGAAGAGGGAATTGTATCAAAAGCCTTAATTCAAAATTCCATTTTTCCTACACTGATTGCATTCCGAATAATGGAATAATCACAGCACTACTAAATTTGTCATCTTTTATTAAACATTGCCTATTACATACTATCTTCTATCATATTGACTATTATAGTCATTGGCTGAAACATTGAACGAAGGACTTTGCTTTATATTTTGGATTCTTTACAGTGACTATTTTCAATTATTTTACTGCCCATCTTGTGTCTTATACAAGCCCTCAAGAGGTATATTAGGCTGAAAACAATAATATATAATGGTAGCTCTATAGTTAAAAGACCTTAAAATAACAAGATCACATTACCTTCTGTGAGATTCCTTCCTGGGTTAAATGAACCCTTCTTGAGATTTTCTGGGAACAGGTCACAGCTGGTTTTTGTTGCAACTTTACATCCATACTGAGGAAGTGAACTGAAACAAAACAATGTTTAACCTCTTTACTTTTGTTAAAATACAAATATACCCTTGAAAAGGGGGTCCAATTTTGATATGAATAAAACCAACATTTAAAATTGGATATTTACTTGCAAAATTAGTTTCACAAAACAAAATATATTCATGACTGAAAGGACATGTGGAACTTTTTTTTCAAACATTTTTATATTTATCATGTTTATAGGATTTAAAGATTACAGTAAATTGGTTCAAAATTAAATAGATTTCATGCAAAAAGTTTCTTTTCTTGATATAATGATTTTACAGATAGAACAAGAGGTCTCAAACAGTAGTAGAGGTACTGGAAGTTCACTGAGTTCTCTGAGGTTTTGCTTGTGATCTACATTTGTACTTCACAAAAAAATGTCCCCTCTCTCAAAAATGTCATTATCAAATATAAAAATAAGGAGATGGAAACAGTTTCTCAAAATTTAGGCTGGACCCCAATCCCTCTCTGAACAGTTGTACTTTGATTTAAAAAAAAACTATCAACACTACAGGTAGATAATCTAGCAAGATAATAGATTGTTTAAGGAACAGTCCAAGAAAGGCAAATATACCATATCCAAAAAAGTCAAAAGAATACATAGAATATACCACTTTGGTAAAGGAAAAATTAAAATAAGTGAAAATTTACAACAAAGATAGTGAATCTATATTCCATCTTGATTGTTTTCACTTTGTCCCAAAAAAACTTTTTAAGAGAATATCATAGGTTTAGTAATAACTTGTACTTACTGTAATTGGTTAAACTGTAAACCATGAGTTCTTACTGTAACTGGGTAAACTGTAAATCATGAGTACTTACTGTAACTGAGTAAACTGTAAATCATGAGTACTTACTGTAACTGAGTAAACTGTAAACCATGAGTTCTTACTGTAACTGAGTAAACTGTAAATCATGAGTACTTACTGTAACTGAGTAAACTGTAAACCATGAGTACTTACTGTAACTGAGTAAACTGTAAACCATGAGTTCTTACTGTAACTGAGTAAACTGTAAACCATGAGTTCTTACTGTAACTGAGTAAACTGTAAACCATGAGTTCTTACTGTAACTGAGTAAACTGTAAATCATGAGTACTTACTGTAACTGAGTAAACTGTAAATCATGAGTACTTACTGTAACTGAGTAAACTGTAAATCATGAGTACTTACTGTAACTGAGTAAACTGTAAATCGTGAGTACTTACTGTAACTGAGTAAACTGTAAATCATGAGTACTTACTGTAACTGAGTAAACTGTAAATCGTGAGTACTTACTGTAACTGAGTAAACTGTAAATCACAACATCCAAAGATTTTAGTTATTGGTTGTTTAATATGAAACTGGTACAGTGTTTGTACTGTAACTTTATTGGTTTTTAACACTTTGAAATATTCCGCAAATCTTTCTTTTAACCTGTTTGCAATCTGAAAAACAAATTATACATGGAAAACTATTTATCATTTCAGGAGTAAATTAAAGATAAAAAGCAATTAGCATGTACAAAACTTTCTAGGACACTCTTTGATGGAATTCTTAAGGATGGCAATGGCTCTCAATATTGATGTTTCCCTGAATTTACAGAGCACATAAAATTATGGAAAATATGACATTTTAATGAATTAATATTATTTCATACATTGTCATAAGTACTGGGATGAAAGAAGACAAATAGTCTGAGAGCAGTGAATGTTATGTCTAATTTTTTTAGTTACAGAATAATTAAATGATTCACTAGATACAAACCTAATGTGAATCTATGAACCATGAATATAAGGTCAAGGTCAAATGGACATTGCAAATAACCAATAATTCTAAGGCCCAATTTCAATTTAATCAGAAAATGTTAATGTTGACCAATGAATAATGAAAATGACCTTAAGGGCAGATCACTGCTGTCAGATTTGCACAGAACACATTTTTATATGTGAAAAATTAGAGAGCAACATTTCAAAGACTAACAACCAATGAAATAGTTATCAGGTTACTTATATTCGAATGCAACATTTTTGTAAGGTTAATTTTATTTGGATAACAACAAAAATTTCGGTGCATTATTCCAAAACTAAACACACAAGCGCAGCAGTCATGTGAAATTTTGACATGTATGATTTTAACATTGTTTTCTTTCAAGTTGCATTAGACATTAGAATTGTGATAACAGATTTGTAAATGAAGATTGCAGGCACCAATTTTGGATTTGATGGTAGCAAATATCCATTTACAGACTTCAATGACACAAAGCAAGTACTCAATTTGCAACCATAAAATCATCAACTGATGTCTGCAAATCTTCAAATACAATACTTCTATTTTCCAAATCATGGTACATGAGGGGAAAATTAAATATCATTAAGAACTACATATGTAGATGTAGGTGACTTTTTCCCATTCAACCAGAAATATATCTTACCCTTTCTACTACATCTTGTGAATTTGTCTTCTTTTTCTTGTATGGAAGTGAATCATAAATTGACTGTAAAAAAAAAAGAAAATATGAAAAGTATCAGTCTACCTACAACTAGAGTCTGAATATAAAATCAACCTGTGGTAAAACAATACAGATGTAAATCTGTATAAACATTATTTTTGGGGCTTTAATGAAGATCATCAGAACCATGTACATCAAAGCAATTCAAACTTTAAAATATCAGTTCAAGTAGTGGTTCCCAAGGCTTTGAAAAATCAACTGGACATTTGGTCCAGTAAACCATTCTTCTTAATAGGACTAGACTCTTTTTTACAGGACATTTATACATACAATTTGGACAAAATTAAAAAAGTAACTGGTCATTTGGTCCAGTAAAGCATATCACTTAACTGGACCAAACCAATTTTTACTGGACTTTGCCCAATATCTGGAAACCTTGGGAATGACTACAGTTGACAATGGGGGCAAACAATTATCATTTGACAACTGTTTTTAACATCTTGTTTCCAATGGGGAACACATAATACACTATTGTAGTAATAAAAACAATTTTTTAAGACATTTCAGCCACTGGCCTTCTTCAGTTTCTTTATTATCCTTCTTAGCTACATGCTAGACATTTCAATTTCACAATCATTTCGTCTTAAAAAATGGTTAAATTACTACAAAACTGTTTTACATCCAGCGACATGTGTTACATGCATGTTTGAAATAATAACATGTTAATATCAAAGTGTGTAGCCAAGAAATAACAAAATAATTTTAGAGCTTTATTATAGCTATTTACATAATCTCACCAAATATAAAGTTATTTCTTGGGTGCTCATATACTTTTCCATTCAAAAATAAACTTAAGAGTTGACATAAAACAAGGAAAATCAAGAAATTGAACAAAATATACAAATGTCCTCATGGTTTGTTGCCATACAACTAATAACATGTTAAATGTGAATTAGTTTTTATTTTCTAAACACCTTTTACCTTAGTATTTTTAAGACAGATTTAAAGGGGCATTAGCTATGATTTATACAAAAATTTAAAATATGTTTCTTTTTGTTTCAAGTATTAATAAAATGCTCCGCTGGGGCGCAGCTTGATACGACCGCAGATGTCGAACCCTGAACAGTTGGGGCAAGTATGGACACAACATTCAAGCTTGATACAGCATTGAATTTGGATTGTAATTAAATATTTGACACAGCATACCGTTCCTACTCGCTTATTAGTCGGAAAATTGGGAGTAAAATTCATAATCCAGAGAGGGGGACCGACTAATAGACGAGATCTAGCGACCAGAGGAAAAATCCAAGCTTGAGAAAAGTGGTCAGGAGTGAATTTCCTGGTCAAAACTACGTTTTTGATTGCCAAACCTACATAGATCAATAAATAAAAAGTTTTTGTTGAAAATAAATGACTACAATACTGTCTTTGTGTTTTATTTGTTCTTTGGTAAACATTTTCTGCAAATTCGTGTTGAAATTCTACTGTTTCCGGTTTGTGTATTGATTTTCATGGTCATATGGTTTTCCTATAAACCCAAAAGAAGAGCCAAGAACCAATAAAATGCTCCGCAGGGCGCAGCTTGATACGACCGCAGAGGTCGAACCCTGAACAGTTGGGGCAAGTATGGACACAACATTCAAGCTTGATACAGCTCTGAATTTGGATTGTGATTAAATATTTGACACAGCATAGGTTTCTGACACAGAATGAATGTGGTCTAAGAACTTAAAAATTTTAAATTGGACATTCACCTATTATGGTCCAATATCCAAAATCTAAATACATGGTTAGATTCAGCATATCAAAGAACCCCAAGAATTCAATTTTTGATGAAATCAAACAAAGTTTAATTTTGGACCCCGATTTGGACCAACTTGAAAACTGGGCCCATAATCAAAAATCTAAATACATGTTTAGATTCAGCATATCAAAGAACCCTAAAAATTCAATTTTTGTTAAAATCAAACTAAGTTTAATTTTGGACCCTTTGGACCTTAATGTAGACCAATTTGAAAACGGAACCAAAAATTAAGAATCTAAATACACGGTTAGATTCGGCATATCAAAGAACCCCAATAATTCAATTTTTGATGAAATCAAACAAAGTTAAATTTTGGACCCTTTTGACCTCAATGTGGACAAAGTTGATAACGGGGCCCAAAAATCAAAATACATGGTTAGATTCAGCATATCAAAGAACCCCATATATTCAATTTTTGTTGAAATCAAACAAAGTTTAATTTTGGACCCCGATTTGGACCAACTTGAAAACTGGGCCCATAATCAAAAATCTAAATACATGTTTAGATTCAGCATATCAAAGAACCCTAAAAATTCAATTTTTGTTAAAATCAAACTAAGTTTAATTTTGGACCCTTTGGACCTTAATGTAGACCAATTTGAAAACGGAACCAAAAATTAAGAATCTAAATACACGGTTAGATTCAGCATATCAAAGAACCCCAATAATTCAATTTTTGATGAAATCAAACAAAGTTAAATTTTGGACCCTTTGGACCTCAATGTGGACCAATTTAAAAACGGGGCCCAAAATCCAAAAACTTAATACACGGTTAGATTCAGCATATTAAAGAACCCCAAGAATTCAAGAATAAAACCCCATTGAAATTGATCAAGAAATAAGCAATTTATAGGAAGTATCTTCTTTTGCACAATACTGTGCAATTGAATATTTCTTGCTATTGCGCAATACTGTACAATTGACAATTTCTTGCTATTGCGCAATATTGTGCTATTGGATATTTCTTGCTATTGCGCAATACTGTGCAATTGAAGATTTCTTGCTATTGCGCAATACTGTGCAATTGAAGAGTTCTTGCTATTGTGCAATACTGTGCAATTGAAAATTTCTTGCTATTGCACAATACTTATTAGATAATAATTTACACATCCTGTTTGGTGTGTATCTCCTACCATATCATTATTATTTGCTTTTAAATATTAATCAGAAATAACCAACTTAAAATGGAAAATTTTAAAAGAAAAAAAAAAGGAAAAAAAGAAAAAAAAAGAAAAAAAAAATCCCCCCCCCCCCCCCCAATTTTTTGAACCCCCTTATGATTCATCACCCCCAAACTCAATCCCAGCCTTCCCTTTGTGGTATGGTACCTTGCAGTACAATTTCAGAGAGATCCATACACTTGAACACAAGTTATTGTCTGGAAACTAGAAAAATGCTTATTTTTGGCCCCTTTTTGGCCCCCAATTCCTAAACGTTTCGGGCAATTACCCCCAAACTCAATTCCAGCTTTCCCTTTGTGATATGGAACCTTGTAGTACAATATCAGAAATATCCAAACACTTACACACAAGTTATTGTCATGAAACTAGAAAAATGCTTGTTTTTTGCCCCTTTTTTGGCCCCTAATTCCTAAAATTTTGAGGCAATTACCCCCAAAATCAATTACAGCCTTTCCTTTGTGATATGGAACCGTGTGGTACAATGTCAGAGAGATCCATACACTTACACACAAGTTATTGTCTGGAAGTTACAAAAATGCTTATTTTTGGCCCCTTTTTGGCCCCTAATTCCTTAACTGTTGGTACCATAACCCCCAAAATCAATCCCAACCTTCCTTTCGTGGTATTGAACCTTATGGTAAAATTTCATGGAGATCCATTCACTTAAACTAAAGTTAGAGTGCGAAAACCAATGTGTCTTCGGACGACGCCGGACGACGACGACGACGATGACGCCGGACGACGACGACGCCAACGTCATACCAATATACGACCAAAAAATTTTTAATTTTTGCGGTCGTATAAAAATGAAAAGGAGATAACAATGTACCAAATATGTGAAAGGATGTTTTCAGCGAAGTTATTGTGTCATTATTGTGATATCATGATATCAATCCAATGCTCATAAATCATATAATAATAAAAAAATAATTTTAAGATTCATTCCCAAAATCAAAATATTATTCATTAAAGTGTCTCAGGTAAACAAAAATTACAAAATTGATTGACAAGCCAATATAATCCATTGATAACCCCAATTAAGAGACAAAGAGTTGTATTTACTAAAGGTGTGAAAACTATCAGTGATAGGTAAACAGATGACACTAATGAGTTGGAGTTAGTTATTTTAATATATTGATAAGCTTCACTTAATTTTTTTAATCCTTTAATCATCACAATATAATAAGAATTATGAAGTGTACATGCTCATTTAACACTGAGTTATGTATGCTGTGAAAAATATTTTCATCAAGTGTTGATTGACTTTAAATTTTTCAGGTTCATATTGGTTTATATTCGCTTTTCTCAAACAATAGGTTGTTAGTCATACCCTACAAAATCATTGATGCATTACGTAAACAACACATGGCTAATCTAACATTTGAACAGTGAACAAAACAAGAGAAATGAATACATCTTTATTATTAACAGCAATATAAATTATCATGATGAGCATCAACTAAATTCAAACCAAACATTAATGCAGAAATGAATATTATTCCTGGATTTGCATTGGTTCTACCGGCGTTCAGTTACTGTCAGCTGAAAAAATAAAATGCTTCGCTGGGGCGCAGCTTGATACGACAGCAGAGGTCGAACCCTGAACAGTTGGGGCAAGTATGGACACAACATTCAAGCTTGATACAGCTCTGAATTTGGATTGTTATTAAATATTTGACACAGCATAGGTTTCTGACACAGAAAGAATGTGGTCTAAGAACTTGAATTTTTTTAATTTACCTATTATGGTCCAATGTCCAAAATCAAAATACATGGTTAGATTCAGCATATCAAAGAACCCCATATATTCAATTTTTGTTAAAATCAAACAAAGTTTAATTTTGGACCCCAACTTGGACAAACTTGAAAACTGGGCCCATAATCAAAAATCTAAACACATGTTTAGATTCAGCATATCAAAGAACCCCAAGAATTCAATTTTTGCTAAAATCAAACTAAGTTTAATTTTGGACCCTTTGGACCTTAATGTAGACCAATTTAAAAAACGGGACTTAAAATTAAAAATCTAAATACAAGGTTAGATTTGGAATATCAAAGAA